TGGAGAGACTGGAAGTAGAAGCTGGTGCGAGGGGAGGAGGAGCAGGGAAAAGAAAGAGGAAAAGTGGCCGAATGAGAAGAGGCGCCAAAATCAGCGGAGTCCATGTGCCTGCCTGCCACATGCTCACCCCATGTTAGCCATGCTCTCCATGGCTAATGCGGGAGGGTTACAGTGGCAGGGTTTGGGAGATGGTGAATCCCATTCGTGGCATGTCCGCTGACCAATCGCCATGTCACCTCTCAGAAGGGCACCGAAGAGTCTGTGTGCACGTTTGCCCCATGTCTGCCATGCTCTTCACGGCACGCTGCAGCTGACCCAAGATGTGGAGAACATGGCTGATGCGTGTAGTAGGCGCACACACAGACTCCACCGTTTTCGGCAACACTTTGGTGCCTGACCGGCCAGGATGGTCCCACTCCTTACTCAGCCTCTTTTCCTCTTTCTTCTTCCTGCTCCTTCTTCCCTCACGCCCGCCGCATCCACTTCCAGTCTATCCATTGCAGCCCAGGATCCACTTTGGCAGCAGCAGGGCTTTGAGGAATGGTGAATCCCCATTTGTGGTGTGTCCGCTGACCAATCACCATGCTGCCTCTCAGGACGGCATCCAAAAAAAGCAGAGTCCATGTGCATGCCTGCCTCGTGCTTGCCATGCATTCACCATGCTCTTCATGGTGCACTGCAGCTGACCCGAGGTGGCTGGTCAGCCACTGAAATGCCGCTGAAAACGGCAGAGTGTGTGTACGTGCCTGCTACACACTCACCACTCAGCTGTGCTCTCCACACCTTGGATCAGCCTCAGCGCACTGTGGAGAGCATGGCGGACACGGGGCAAGTGTGAGGCAGGTGCGCACACAAACTCCACGTTTTTCAAGTGCCATTTTAAGAACTGGTTCACTACCAAGAGAAAGTAGGTAACGGTTCTGCCAAACGGGTGCAAACCGGCTGAATCCCACCTCTAGTTACATTGTTTATCCATTAGAAAAATACAGCCTCCTTTGCAACAATATTATATCTAAGGTTCTCCCCCTTTTGTAGAAAAAGAGTGGTATTCAGCTTTAGATTCTATGCCTCTGCATTAATGAAATGCAAAATACATAGGCTAAAATCATACATTCTGACAAATCACAATAAGCTCGGTTTGTACTACATCAGTGTTTCTCAACCTTGGCAACTTAAAAGATGTATGAATTTCAATTACCAGAATTCCCCAGCCAGCATATTGCCTGGGGAATTCTTGGAGCTGAAATCCAGTCATCTTAAAGTTGTCATGGTTGAAGAAACACTAAAGAGAAATCAAACAAACTACATTATGTCATGCCTTGATAGATTTCTGAAAGCACCTATAGCGATTTTAAAAATGCCATTTTAAAAGATATAAAATGTGGTCTTCCCATCCCCCAAGCTTTTCTAGTTGAAAATGTCATAATTTTTATAATTATAATCAATTGCAATACTGAAAGTAAAAGTGAATCCTACACAAACAGTATTGACAGACTCTCTTCCACTATTAATTACCTATATTCAATTCAGAAGTTTTAAGGGATAAAAGTGCAAAAGCACTTTTGCTGCCCTTTGCCATAGGCTTAGCTGACTATACTGTATATTTCATCACCAAGTATGAATTAGTTATTTGTCAGCTGAAGTAAGATAACAAAGGCAGTGAGCTAGAACATCTTTGGTAACCTCATCTTTCCCATCAACTTTCACTTAGAACCAAGGAAGCTACATAATATTACAGGTGGAGCTGTACATTGTGTTCCCTTGCCCTTTAGTGATTACACAAAGACTTGTGTGAAGAGGGGCAAAGGAAAAACAACGGAGAGACAAGGGTTAGTGACCCAAGCAGTGGATTTATAGTTCATATTTTGGCTTTCACCTTGCAAAAGGCCAACTGATCTGCCGGCAAAGAGAAAACTGACAGGTTGGCCACCTGCTGGCATCCAGCAGAGTTGAAACAAAAGTTGGTTCATATTGTTGATTAATTCCATGTCAATAGTTAGTAGAGCAAATTCCCATTTTTTATAATCTCAGGCAGTAAAATAGATCTATGTAAGAGAGATGGTCTATAATTCTAGTAAGACATGATTTATTTAGCTGTAATATTACTGAATTAGCACTATTAGCTATAAGTTTTTACAATATGCTAAATCACCATGCTTTACAAACTGCAGTGGCTGGGTATGTGCAGCATATTGACCTAAAACTTAAAAACCTGTATTATACTTGGCACAATATGTGAATGCTTCCAATGTAAATTATCGCTTCCCTTCTTTCATCTTTACTGTTTATGAAAGCTTTACATTTTTGGCTTTGCATTAGTCATGTAAAAGGGCTATTATTTGAGCTTAGAAATTAGAAAATCTGAGAGCCTAATGATTTTCTTCCTGCATTTATTGTGTTATGTGTATAGTAGTATATTAGCAACAAGAACGTTGAGTAATCTGTTGGCCATATGCCAGGCACATATCAACCCTGTTGAGGAAGTGTATGACTAAAGCATACAAAGAGTACAGCATCACATCTAAGACAAGGTCAAATTCCACACCTGCATATTCTAAAGCAAGCTATCATGCCAATTTCTATTTTAAGGACTGGATTTAATTCTGATCCTGTGACTACAGAGCCTTTATATCTGTTACAACATGCCAAGAAGCAGGATTTTTAACACAAGGTAACTGCTGCTATTCAAATGTAAGGGTGCTATGAAGCTCTACAAAGCTAATCTCTCTATCCTTCGCTCAACATTACCTACCCAAAGTTCCTCCAGTTTGCTCCTCCCCATTCAGGTGCTTTCTATAGCCTGATTGCTATTGTTCAGATTTTAAAGGCACAATATCTCTTGAGTACCAAGTCCTCATGACAAACAATGGGAGTACCAGATGCTGCAGTAACACTTTGCCTATAAATTTCCTAGAGGTATGTCAAGCTACTATTAAATGGGTGGAAGTTTTACCCAGGGATATCCAAAGTTGAAATAGGGAGGACTGACCTGACTGTGCAAGTTATTAAACAGAGGATCAGCCTGCAACCTGAAGACATGAGTGCTCTTATCACTGAAGATTTTCAAAAGGGTTGGATAGAATCATAGGGCTGGAAGGGAGCTTGGAGATCTTCTAGTCCAGGGCTTTTCAACCTTTTCACCCATTGTACCACTTTTACGATATGGCAACATCTGAGTACCACCAGTCTCCTAGCAAGGTGTCAAAAACTTGATGATCCCCCCAAAAGGAAAAAAGTGATAAAGTACAGGTAGTCCTCAACTTACAACAGTTTGCTTAGTGACTATTTGAAGTTACAATGGCACTGAAAAAAGTGCCCCCCAAACCACAGCCGAGCAAGATACCTGCCTGCCCACCCAGCCACGCTCTTCCTCCTGTCCGAGGTTTTCGTTGTTGTGAGCATTTCTGTTGAGTATTGGCAGCGGGAGTGGGGTGGGGGGGGGTATTTGGTTTTTATTCCCCCCGTCTGTTGGGTGGTTGCAGCAGGTTTTGGTCACTTCACATGACCCTGGGACACTGTGACTATCATAAATATGAATCAGTTGCCAAGCATCTGAATGTAAATCACAAGACCCTGGAGATGCTGCAACATTCCAGCTGATCGGCGCTTCTTCTGGGCTCAGCAGAAGCAACAGAATCAGCACCAAGCTCCAGCTGGAACCTGGTGCTTCCACTGAGCCCTGACAGCCCCGAAGAAGCGCCGATCAGCTGGAAAGCAGCACTGATCCTGGCGCTTCCGCTGAACCCTGACAGCCTGCAGCTCCAGCCGTCTCTCGCTCAGGCTTGTGCGGTGCTGCCACCAGTTCAGTTCATTCCCCTCCCCCGCTACCATTTTTCTAGGATGGTCACATACCACCTGCCGTGTGCCAATGTACCACAGGTGGTACCCGTCCCACTGGTTGAAAAGCCCTGTTCTAGTCTAACCCCTTGCCCAAGACAGCTATTTGTCCAGGATGGTATGGGGATATCTAAACTGGGTAGGATCAGATTGGAAGACCTCTAAGACCCCATCCAACCCTAAGATTCTGTGAAGGGCTATAGTTCTGAAATAAGTACATATTTTGTGTGCAGAATGTTCTGAAATCTCTCCCCAATTCCACTACTCTTGAAGAGTCTCTGCCAATTGATTGTATAGCCAATATTAAGCTAGATTAGTGTTCCTCAGTCTCAGCAACTATAAGATGTGTACACGTCCAGGTGTAATTTCTGATTTCTATCTATAAAGCCCTTCATGGCATAGTATTGTGTTGCAAGACTTGTCTATCTGCAAGACTGCCCATCTCCAATGGTTATGGTTATGGAGTCCCACAAGAACTGACAGAGCAAATATGCTCCAGATCCCTTTTATAAAACAGCGTTATCTTATAGAACTCAGGAGATGTGCCATCTTAGTTGGTGACTAAGTCTTTGGGACAGCATAATGTTGCCACCACCAGCACTTTCATGGTTTGGATGGTCCTGACCCTGTTGGCCTTACGTTAGGTCTTTGAAAGCCTAGCTTTCCCTCTGGACACTGGAATTCATGAGCGTCTCTGTAATATTTTGAAAATAAATGATTGTGGGACTCAGTTTCTGCTCTGTATATGCATGTTACATGTGTGTATAATTTTCTATGTTATATCAGCTATCCAGCTCTCATTATCTATAAAATAAATTGACTAAATAAATCAATAAACGTTATCTGCAGGTTGGGCTGATTCTGAATGTGAGTTAGATTGGATTCCTCAAAATTACAAACATTTTTGTAAGCTCTCCTCCACACTCTCTTCTTTTTACTTCTGTCTGAGTTGCATCTGGATCTGATTTTGGATCTTTAGTTAGAACCTTAAATCATACATGCATGTGCATGCACATATACAACTTTTAAAAACAAAAGTGAATTATGCTTACTGAATAAGAAAATATGGCTCTGGGGCAGTAACCAAGCCACCAAGAATGATGTTGTGTTGAATCTTTCACTCTTTTTTTAGCTATTAAATTAAGCTTTTTCCTCCCCTTAAGATTGCAGAGACTGACAGACGTGTCTTAGAGGAACACTGAGTAAAGTAAAAGGAATCCAAATATATTTTGAAGAGTCAAAACTGGATGAATTTCACTTCCACCATATGGGGAGAAAGATAAAAATGAAAAGGAGATTAAAACAGCTTCTAGATTTTCTATTGTTTCCAATTCAGTCTTAAAGAAGATTTACAATGGGAAAAGTCTGTAGCTTTGATAGTAAGGCAGATATGCCGTAACAATTTACTAAACAATTCCAAAAAAAAAGTCATTTTACTTCTGACATTGCCCTTTCTTAATAATCAATTTTTGCTACTTATCCTTGGTAATTGTTGAGCCCTGTGGAAGTTTTTGCTCACAGACTGGGCCTGTCCCTTCTCTCAGTTCTGCTGCCATTTCTTAGCCCTGTAGCCATTGTTGCTCTTCTATGCCTCAGCTACCACAACTAAACCCCCATTACAAGGCTACCCACATATCCCTCCCATGCTACTTGGGAGTGGTCAGAGATGTTAAACGTGATAAATGAGGACTGAACAATTGCCATTCTTCTCATTGCAGACAGAGCGCTAATATGGAGGCCTCCTGAGAAATATAGGTTTGCTAGAATGGCACCTCTCAGAAATACTGCTGTCGGGACATGTTTACAATTGCCCTGCATGGCCTATTGGCTGAGCTGCCATTTAAAGGAACTCATGCTTCATTTCCGGGCTTAGCAGTTTCCCGGGACAGCAGGCTCTACAGATAGCATGAGCTCAGTGTGATGGGAAAAGGAGTGCCGTGCATCGTTCTCCCCATTCCCTTCTTTGTGATGGATTTAGGAACAGCAGCCACAGGCACAAAAGGAAATGGTGTCAAACAGGAAGGAAAATGACCACATTAAGGGGAGGGGGAAATGATGGATTTAATGATAGCTCAGCTGGTCAAGCCTGGGACAAAGCAATGCCATGGTCAGTGAGCAGGGAAATTGAGATATGGACATCCCTTACTGAAACATTCCCCTATTGTTTTCACATTTTCTTTCAATGTGTTTCATTATCATTAGGTGGAGTAATAGTCATTAGCATTATACCATATACAGTAGGCTAGGATAGAGGGACTTAGAATTATAAGCCTCTTTATAAAATCCCCTCCATTCTCCATTTTCTTTCTACCCATTTCAAACTTCCCCATATTTTCTGCCATTTCTGATCACGGAATAGCATGCAGAAGAGATGTGTCCAGAGTCTAAAGAGTCTGTATGCTATGTCTCTGACACAGTTAAGCTTCCTAATAGGGAAAGCTCAGCATATTCACAAGGAAATACTCATGGCTGATTGGGGAATTCTGAGAGTGTTAAAGTTGCCAAGTTTGGACACCTCTGCTTTATGTGGTATTGCAAATATTACAAATGCTTTATGCCAGTCTCCTCCTATAAACCTACATAAGCTTTAAAATCCAATAATCTTTCTCTATAGATCAGAGGTCCCCAACCTTTTGGGCATTAAGGACCAGTTCCATGGAGAGAGGTTTTTCCACGGACCAGAGGGGGCATTGTTTTATGTGCTGCCTGCATCCAGCGAATGGGGCTTCGCTTGTTTACGCGGCCCGGTTTCTGGCATGCTAGGGACCGGTGCTGGTCCATAGACCAGGGATTGAGGACGTCTGCTATAGACAACTTCTGTCTCAAACCTACTATCTGATATCTTGATAGCTCTACAAATTAATAAATATTGATCTTTGGAGCTAGATTTCCATTTACTTTCTGCTTTAGTAATAGTAAATGGGGGTCATGTGAAGGTTGAGCTTCAGACATTACTACTGTTTTGGAAATTGTATTCAACATTAAGATTTGGATTTTCTTAAAATAAAATATATTGGTAGGTCCTACATGCCTGATATTTTTCTTCTGAATAAAGTTAATAGGCACTCTCTGCATCTTACAGCAGTGCACTAGAAATGTCAATCTGTAATAATCAATCTTATGCTTATTTTCTCATACATAATTCTGATCATGAAGTTGATATTTATCTCAGTTAACACTACAGCAAGTCTAAATTAACTAAGGGGGACTGATTTCCCATCAGACTCACATTAGGACTGTACCCATAATATTAAAAAGAGAAGCAGTTCTATTAAATAAAATCAAAAGAAAATGAACATGATTTTTGTATTTTATTAAATCAAGATATTCTCAATGAATATAATTGGAGGGGATAGCCTGAATTATTTGACAGGTAGGTATTTTGTCAGTTGAACAACAACAGCAGCTGCATATGAATCTAACCCCATTACACAGGATATGAGGACACTTTCAGCTGTGGCTTTAATTCCCACTGAGGGAACAACTGAATTCACAGTGGAGGGTTAATTTACATAGCATAAGACCAGCATATGAAAATGTCATGATGGGATAATTCTGTTTGCATGTGCTCTGATGAGAGTGAACTGGGCTTATGTCATATGCTGAACTTGCAGATAAGGAGACTAAAGACATTTATCCAGCAATATAAGGCTTAGAGCTTTCAACTGTTTCAAAGGTTTGGGTTAAAGCTTAGTAAATATATTGCACTCGTAACCAAAAATACATAGTTGTATAGAGGAAAGTTTGAACTGAGGTAACTCTGCTAAATCAACAGCCAGGAGACCCCATGCTCTGCTAAGCCACCATGTGGTTTGTTTGGGACTTAATATTTGTGTGGATGCAGCCACTGTAATCTATAAACCATGGGTTTATATGTTTTTTTAATTATTATGATTCAGCCAATAACGTAGTTAAGAAAGATACAGTATATGTAATCCAGACAAAAAGTACAGGTAAGTAGGACAGCTACATTTGCACATTTAAAGTTTAGGAAAATTCATTCAAAACTACACTTTAGATGCCCAATGGTTAATCACTGCTAGGACTATGTAATCATTCACTGAATCTGGCTGCTTGGCCAAAGATAAATGAAAAGCAGACCAGGTTACATCTGACAGCTAATAGTAAGAGTATATTCCTCCTAGGATAACTGTGGCATAGATCTATTTGCTGCAGTGTATTATGAATACAAGGCATTTTGGTGAAGTGCAAATTTGGTATAGTGCTAAAATGCTGGCCTAGAACCAGGAGACTGCCTTAGGCATGAAAACCAATTGGGTGAATTTGGGCCAGTCACAGGCTTTCAGCCCAACCCACCTAACATGATTATTCCTGTGGAGAAAATACAGCAGGAAAAATTATGTATGTTTCTCACTCTGAGTTACTTACAGAGTAATTAAGGCTAAATAAAAAATAAATGAATTTGTTCCTGCCACCACAACCAAGAAGGTGTAGCTTATTCATTGGTGCAAAAAAGAAACACTAATCAGATAGGCTAACATTAGGTTAAACTTAATCAGAGTCCCTAATTACCCAATGGCTGTCTTCTTGCTCCACAATGTTTGGATTTTAATGTCTACACCAGTGGTTCTCAACCTGTGGGCCGGGACCCTATTTGGGGTCGAACGACCATTTCACGAGGGTCGCCAAACAACGCAGTCCGCCATTTTTTCCCCCTTTTCCTTAGCTGTGCTACTCCCTTTTATTCTATTGGATTTTGAAAGCCAATAGAATAGATTCTCTTGAATAGAGTCTAATTCTATTGGCTTTCAAAAGCCAATAGGAATTGTCCAGGCTGTCTCTGCCCTGCTGAACCTGCCAAAAGTCCCATTCTGCAAACGGTGCTGCACCAGTTGAGTAGTCCTCAACTTACGACCGGTTGAGTAGTCCTCGACTTACGACCGGTTGGGGGTCACGGCATTAAAAAGGTTGAGAACCACTGGTCTACACAAATCTTATGAGACTCAGCCAGCAGAGTTGGGAATGATAGATACTAAAAATAAACATATTAGGAGAGACACCAAATTCAAGAAAAGCGATTAGTAAAGATGCTGATATATTCCCCAATAAATATTTACTTATAAGTAGTATTTATGCATACTATACAATGAGTAATATCAAGAACGAATGTACATTTTGCTGTTTAGTGTCATCTAGCCACAGCAATGGCTAGATGATACTATAAAGTAAAGGAGTCCCTGCAGATTTTATTCCACTAGCCATTGCTGGCTATAGGGGGCAGTGCTCATCTCTGTTTCAAGAGATGGAGCCAGCATTGTCCAAAGATATTTCCATGGTCATGTGCCAGAATATCACTGAGTGATACCTATTTATCTACTTGCATTTGCATGCTTTCGAACTGCTAGGTTGGCAGAAGGGCGAGGATAGGAGCTAACTCCATCACATGGTGCTCGGGTCTTGAACCTGGGCTGCCGGATTTCCAGCAAACAAGCCCAGCATCTTAACTGCTCAGCAGCTTGTCACTCTACTATAAAGCATCTACAAAATTTGTTGACCTGGTGGAACATTCCATTTACTTCTAGATCCTGTTGAACCCTGTCTTGGACTGTGTTCTGGGGGTGATTCAATAATTTTTACAATTAAGTCCTCTAAAGCATAAGTGATTCTAAGATTTACTTCCACAAAATTCCTGAACTACCTCTGGAACGTCAGGATTTAGAAGAATGCTTGGCATGGCATGGAGTTCTCCAAATGTTCCTTTCTGAACTGATAAATTTTATACATCACCATCATAATGTCCATGTAGTTTCCTTGGCAACAAATGGAAGCAGTTTGCTCTTACCATCTTCTGAGATATTCTTTCAACTTTATAATCCTGGGATAGTCTGGTGATATCTAAGTATAATCCAAAATTCCTTAGGTTTCAAGATCAGCCAAAGCTGGGTAGGTGCCAGAACCTGTTATAAATGGGTAAATTCCTATAAATCACAAGTGAATAAATTTGGAAGTATCTAAGTGAGAATATCTAGTATAAGGAATCAGTGAGAGCAGGTATCTGACTGATAAAAGTTAATAACTATTAATGGTTTCTGCTTTCAAAAGTACCTGAAAACTTTGGCATCTTACTCAGCTCAGTCTCCATGACGGTGGTAAAGAAATAATATTCTGTGGGATCATTCCCCTTTCTTGAATGTTTTGTTTTTAACAAAAAAAGCAAGTTTTCCTAACCATTTTATTTGTAAAAATATAAGGGAAAAAAATCAAGCAATTTTCCATCAGTTTTCCCCAAAATATTATAATAATCACAGAAAAATGACTTTTTATTAAATTGACGTGCCATCGATCTCACTAATAAGTAACTCTGGTGGCTTACAAACAGTACAAACTTTTGAGAAATATAAAAAGTAAGAAAATTAAATGCTAAAAATGCCTTTTCTCTCTCATTTAGCATGGATAACATATTTATGATAGTTTCCCCTTTCCATATTTTTTAAAACAGTTGCAGTGTCTCTGGGTCAAAGTAAATGGGGAAGCCAGATTCACTTAACAACCATGCTACTAACTTAACAATTGTGGCAAGAAAGGTCATAAAACAGGGCAAAACTCAACTGCCTTGCTTAGCGACAGAAATTTTAAGCTCAATTCGAGGACTACCTGTATGGTAATTGCAAATGAGGAACAGACTTAATTAAGCTTTAGAAACACATCTTCCTATTTTTATTGGGCAGGCTTCCGATGATTCTTTGGTGTTTTTACATTTCTGACAATAATTTATAAGATATAATCTTTATGTATTGTATTTTTACTTTGAAAAGAATGTGCTATTTTAAGGGGAGAGGAAAAAGGGGGGAAGCTAATTCCTCTAAATGCATCAGATTTGATCTAAAAATATGTTTAAAATGTCCAGATACCCTATGGATATATGAAGTAATACTGTATAATAAAGTAACAGCATTTCTTTAGCTCTAGGAGTTTAGTATTTCTTTCTTCTAGCTAGCATATGCAGAGTGAATAAGCTAGTTATCTTTTTAAAAAAAACAGGTGTGGAAATTTTGAAAGGTTTTCCATAAGTCATTTAACTGATGCTCTCAGATTATATTTTAAGCATTCTTCTTGGAAGTCCTTCACCTTGAAATAAATGGAAATCTGTACCGTTAGCAGTTAAACTCCTTTATTTTTATTTTCAAGAGTTCCAGGATTGGTTGTATATGTACTACAACGTAACAGTATCATTTGCACACTGAATCATTCTACCTCAAGGTAAAATGAATCATTTTATACTAATTGCAAACGTAAACAGAAAGACCAGTCAGTGTTACTAGCCACATCATGATGTTTTCTAGGCAGCCTTACAGAAGTGCTTTGCCATTGCCTTCTTCCCTAATGAATTTCTCCAAAGTAGTTTACAACACCGGAGTTACCTGGTGGTCTACTACCCAAGTCTTAACATGGCGCCACTCTGCCTGCTTCTAGGCTCTAATAAGGTCTGCCAAGTGCAGCTACCCGTTGAAAAATACAAACCCGTTGAGAAAACACTCCCTTTTTGGGGAACAGAAACTAGTCTCTCTGGGAATAAAGTCCTTCTCCCTGAAGAGCTAGTTTTCCGCTTTCAGGGATGTTCGTTTTAGGTAAGTGATATTTTAAAAGGTTATTCTCCGTCTTACGCTCTAAAGCTGTAATTGTTTTATTCCGCTACCTTCGATTGATAAGTGCTTTTCGCTCGCCTTCTCCACGTATTGCCTGCTATCCAAATGCTCTTTCCCAAGGCGCCAGTTCCTCGCACACCCCATTCCGAACAGCTGCCGAAACTCCCCAGGAAAGGAACGCCGCGGCATTCGCAGGCAATACGTGATTGGCTCCCACTCTGCCAAGCCTGCAGCCCATTTTCCGTCTCTCTTCACGGCAAGAAGGGAAGGCGTCCTGCAAAGTCCGCCTCCTCCCCTGCTGCAGTTGGCTAGAGCAGCTACCAATCCGCTCCAGGAGTTTGGAATCGTCGTTCGTGTAGAACCAATAATCGATAAATAGGCGGACAAGCATTGGAGGCGGATGATGTCAATTCCCTGAGTTTGGGCGGGGTTTATATTTAACCCGCCCTCCCCTGCTCAGCTCGCAGCAGCCGCTTGTCGGTCCCAGCTTTAATTGTAAGCCAGCGGTTGTAGGGAGAGGTGAGAGAGGAGGGAAGCTGGATAGCGGAACCCAGAAGTGGAATCAGGAAGCCGAATTGGGATGCAGGTAGGCTCATTCGCTACTCAAGGGGAACTAAGGCAAGGTAGTAAGTGGTGGAGTAAAGATGCAGTTTCCAGAAGAGGCTTTAAAAGTATAAAGCAGTGGAGATTGGAGTGTGTGTATTGGGGGGTGGGTGGGTTATAAATACCTATTCAGTGGTTGGTTTTTTTCCGTCTTCCTGCTGCCGCCTCTCTTTTTCTTCAGTCGCCTTCTCTTTGCATCAGGGACTTGTATTTCGGTTGGAGGACCAGCTAGGGAGCCTGATTTATTTTGGATAAATAAATGAGATGCTGGTTAAAGAAATGGAGTCCACATAAAAGTAGACGGCTCTTCACGTCTTTGGCGGGGTAACAGTCCCTTGTGGGTACCACTTATAGGGATGCAGTTCTTTGGGGAAGGGAAGGTTTTGTTGACGGCAGAGTGATACGGGAAAGAGAAGGATAAGCAGGTTAGGGTGTGTGTTTTGAGTAACTGGGATCTTTCCCTGGATTGCCTAATAGGATGCTGACAATAGGGATTAGAGTGCCATAAAGAGCATTAAGGGATGTTTCTAACTATATTATACATGAAGTGAATCTGACTTTCTGATGAAAGGTGTAAAGTCATTACAAATATCAAGGCCTGTGGATGGTGCCAGGATGTGGGCTGCTAAGAGATATTAAGAAAGGAAAGAAGATGCATTGACATAAGACAGAATGTCACTTTCAGAAAGTATTTGTGAAACTTGATGGTAGCATATTAGGTTATCTTTATTTCATGTAACAATGATTAAGAAGCCATTGCCTAACTCATACATAATAATTTATTAAATGTGTATGCTACACATCTCTGCATAGCTTGCAACAATCAATTATAGTAAAATAAAGAAAAGATGGCAAGCACAATGAAGTATTAGGTCTGACTCTCCCTCACTTAAAAGCCTAGGTGAAGATGGCATATTCCAACTTTCTTTGAATATTAAAGTTGGATTACATAGCTGTCTGAGCACAAGTCTGCCCAGTGTTCATTCCTTATGCATGAACTTTCAGCCTTGGATTTAAAGTCTCTTGAAGGCCCTCTTTCAAAAACATGTTATTTATTGCTTATACTAGCATAGCAAGTTCCCAGGTTTGTTTAATAAATCAATAAGTAATGCCAATTGCAAATAGAACATAAGGAAGCTTGGCAGTTTCAAAGTTTAATACAAAAATACTATGCTCATGGAACAGTGGGAACGCATATATTCTTACAGAACTTTGACAATATGACTGGTTGATGTTCAGTTGGTTTAAAAATACTACCTAATGACAATATAATTGCTTTTAGAATTTAGTAAAAAGCAGTTAAAAATATGTTGAGCTATGATGTGTTGAAGTGACTTGTTACCTGTATAATTCCTTGTACACATATAAAAGTAGCTCATTAAACCACTTCAGTAAGTTATGTGTAAGAATTTGGAGAAGTGCACCTACATGAGAAGTTGGAGAACTAAAGCTCAAGGAAACTGTTACCTGGCCCTGTTGATATAATGAAACTCTGGCTGTTTTTATATAGTGCGCTAAGTCATACTAACTTAATCATGATTTACTCACTATTATGGATAAATTAGCACAGCATACTAAGCCACAAAACACAATGGTAAGTGCAGATCTTTTAATTTATAGCTGGGTATTTGCACATGTTGGTCTAAAATGAGATTGGATAATTTGTGACTCAGTGTATTGCAGTGTAAAGCTTGGATCCAAGGTTTATTACAAACTCTTCTAGTGTGGTCAATCTATGTTTTAGTATGTTGCGTGAGCTTATGAGTTAGGGTTAATTTAATAAAATATGGATTAGAGCAGGGGTCCTCAACCTTGGCAACTTTAAGACTTGTGGACTTCAACTCCCAGAAGTCCACAAGTCTTAAAGTTGCCAAGGTTGAGGACCCCTGGATTAGAGTGTTTGCAAACAGGGTCAGAAAACAGAACATGGAACTTAGGCTCTAAAGTAAAATTTATTCACAACAATTAGCTGTTGGAGTAAAAAAGCATCAAGCACACAGCACAGCAGAGGGCAGTAATGTACATTCATTAACACATTCATGTTTCTGTTGTATCATGTTTCCCTACTTCTATACTTATTCCAGAGAAAAACTGTCAAGAGGTTTGGCTTCATGTCCCCAAACTGCTCCAAAGATGTAGCTTGTCCACTACCTACAACTTCAACAATATTCATTGGCTGAAGTTACACTAGTTACACTAGGTCATATATTCACTGGCTGAAGTTACACTAGGTTACACAACAAATACTGTAATAGTCTCATCCTCTGCATGAAATATATATATGGAAGATGTCCTGGTACTCTGCTATATAACAATCTTAAATGACATTTAACATAAAAAAGAGAAGTAGGGACTGGGCAGATATGATGGTGATAGCACGTGGGCCTCTTCCTTTACAGCTGCTGTTATAGTACCATATCTATGCATATAGGGTTTTTTGCTTTTTACTAGCATAGGGAAAGTAAAGCTAATACACGGGAACGGAGAACAAAATGAAATGAAACAGTTTTTCTGTAATTATTGAAATTTTTGTCTTTTCCATTTTTCTATATTTAAGGTGAGACCAATATAATCCATGAAGAGTCTATGAAATACTTTGTAATTGGACAAGCTTGCAGTGTAAGCCTATCCAGGGACTTCATGCTGCTTTAAATAAAAAGCTTAATTGACCTCAGTTGTAAAGTGCAAGATATCCTTTCAGAGAAACGGGCGGCTCTTCTTACAGGCAACCAATAACCTAGTTGTCCTACAAGAATACGAACTTGGAGTTGGGAGACGGCAAGATGTTAACCAAGCCTTTCATAATCGCCTAGAGTCACATAGCAGCATGTCAGCTCTGACAGAACTAGCATTCTCCATTCTCGAAAAGAGGTAATATAAGAGTTTGACTTTTTTCCTTCAAATCGCTCAGTAGTAGTAGACTTACAAAGCTGAATTCAGATTTTATTCTATTTATCTTGGTTGTTTTTTTTAAAAGCTTGGATCCAAATTCATTTCATGCTATTTTTAAAGACTTTTATACAAAGTGCCTTGTTGAAGGATCTCTTTTCTCCACTCTGAAGAGCAGCTAAACTGTTCCTAGCAGTCACAGTGAAACAGAGCCTGAAATCAGCACACCACTTTGGATTATGTTCTGGAAAATTGCAGACCAAAGAAATCAATAATCTGGGTGTTTTACGTTGTGTTTTAAGTGTGCTGGATATTCTTTGCTGGAAGTTAAATTACAGGCAAAGTGAACCATAGTGGATTTGATTGGATTGGAAACTATTGTAGTTTCTCTGCTGGCTCTGTGTCTGACATCTTCACTTCTGAATTGTGCTTGATGGGGGTTTTTCTTAAGGGTGCCAACCTTTCAATTAAGGACAGAATACTAGAGTTGGAGGACTTGGCTTCTATGTGCCAAAAGCCATATCAGCTTAACCCACAAGCAGAAGTCTGTTGTCCTAACAGTTGGCTTCAGTACTACATAAAGAAGAACTACATAATTGTGCAACATAACATTTAAGATGGAACTAAAAGAGGCTCATCATGCCAATGGAGTGGTGCTGCCCATTGTGGCTGGGCCTATAGACTGTCTATCCAGTCCTGACCGAGAACATCTCGTTGAGTCTTCTGATTTTTTAGAACCAGAAGGAGGACGAGGCATGGAAGTGGTGGTGATAGAATCCCGAGCCAATGCAAAAGGGGTGCGTGAAGAGGATGCCCTGCTGGAAAATGGCAGTCAAGCTACTGAAAGTGATGATACTAGTACAGACCGGGGTCCAGAACCAACCTCTCCTCTCAAAGAGACTTCCTTTTCTATTGGTCTACAAGTCCTTTTTCCATTCCTGCTGGCAGGGTTTGGAACAGTAGCTGCTGGGATGGTGCTGGATATTGTTCAGGTAAGACTGAACTCTTTCACAAAGTACGGTATGAGATCCTTCTGAGTCTGTAAGTCTACTGCAAGTGGCTTGATCCCATTCCTTGTATCAGTTAAATACTAAGCAAGTATAAGTCTTAAAATTTCACTTCAAGTTAGTAAACTGCACATTCTGGAGTCAGACATACTGCTGTTATTTCTTAATTGATTCTTAAATAAGAATCAATAAATAAGAATCAATAAGAATTCTTAAATAAGAATCCCACCTTAAGGATTAAGGGGGAAAGAATATTTGCAGTTCCTAAATGAAACTCTATTCATTCTTTATTCTCCTATTTATTCTCAGTTTTAAGCAATTCCAATAAGTTTATATCTCTTGTTATCGAGGAGTATTTTACAATATTTTCAGGATTCTCCTCAAAACTCATTTGAAATAGAAGGAAAATGTTTTAAGTAACTAGAACGTTTTCAGTATTTTCTTTGTATCTTCAAAACTGTACATCAGTTGCAGTAATTTGTAATTAAGAAGCCAGTGATCAAAACTGGTAATGATTTAAATGTTGACAAATCAGAGCAATTGGTGGTGGCCAAAAGATATCTTATAGCTGAGAATTCAGAAGCGTCCTAAAGTTTTTGCAGTGTTAAATACTGATTTGGCAGTGCCCAAATTCCTCTTTCTGTACAATAAATATTAAGGCAAGCCCAGTTGAGGCTTCCCGCAGACTTGTTGAAGTCCTAGCTGACATGAGAGTAACCCACTTTTCAAATGAACTAACTGAATTTCTAGGATTCCAGTGTCACTGTCTTCTGAATTATTGGGCAATGAGAATTTGTGATTGGGTCATATTAAAGTTCAGGATTATTGTTCGTTTCCTTTATTCAGGAGTAGATCTTTGGATTTGCAGAATCTAACTTGCGACTTTTATAGGAAATGATCATTGGCATGCTATCATCAAGTGATCTTGGTTTTAAGTGTTATGTCCAAGGAATAACAATTATTTCTTAGGCAGTTATAATATTTCCTTTTGTTACAACATGTATTCAACTGAGCCAGCATTAAATACTATGTTCAGAAAAAAAACATAGTAACCCTTCTTTCCACAACTGTTAAGTGAATCATTGCAGTTAAGTTAGTAACAAGGTTGTTAAGTGAATCTGGCTTTCCCATTGATTTTTCTTGTCAGAAGCTAGCAAAAAGTGATCACATGAACCCAGGACACTGCAGCTGACATAAATATGAGTCAGTTGCCAAATGTCTGAATTTTGATCATGTGACCATGGGGTTGCTGCAACTATCATAAGTGTGAAAAAAACAGTCATAAGTCACTTCTTTTAGTGCCATTGTAACTTCGAACCGTCACTAAACAAATGTGTAAATCAAGGATTACCTGTATTTCTAGCATCTGTCAGACATAGAGCTTGAATAGGAAATTCTAAATAAATACAGGATAACTTTTATAGCTTGAGATTAGGGTCCAATGTATCCTTGAGATTCTTTTCAGATGCTTTGCTCCAGTTTTCTTCACCTTCCAGTGAAGTGAGATTGATAGCAATGAACAATAAAGCTTTCTTGGTTGAAATATCATAAAATGGAATGTCCCTACCTAAAGCAGTTGAGCAGTGTTTTTTGTAAAGTCATTTTGATTACAATGCCTTTTTTTTGTGCTTCAGATTAGCATTTTGAACTGAAATCCCGTGTTTAGGTGGTATATCTGTAACCACTGTGTGAAACAGATGTTGATTTTAAGCTGCAATTTCTTTTATGGTGCTTCTTTATTTTATACTTGTGGACTGCTCTGAGAACATATTGTCAGAAAGCTTATATAAAAGCTATGAATGATATTCCAGTATCTTAATAAGTCATAGTTTTTGAGATCTAAGAGCTACGTTAGGATTCAGAAAAAAACTTTTGAATAGCTCAGCCTTTGAACAAGCTGAAGGAAGCTGTGCGTTTTTTTTCTGAGTAACCTTTAGCGGAAGATTGGTTAAGACTACCAAGAAGACTTTAAATTAACAGGAAACATTTTTTCTTAGGAAAAATAGATTAGGCTATACAAGTACAAACTATTAAATTCTAGTGGCTAATTTTTTTCAGGCATGCCAAGAGCTAACATTTCTGCTCCTGCAGCTCTGTTCATCAACTCCATGAAGCCAAAGTTCCTGGTGTTATGAAATATGTACAGTTTTATCCTTAATGGAGAGAATCCTGGGTAAAAGATTACTATGATGGAATATAGTGCTTTGGCACTGTGATGAACAGTGGCTCTGTAATGATCAGGTTCCCCCTTAGCCATTTAAAGATCTTCAAGTATCTCTTGGTACTAATCAAAGATTGGTTTGCTAAAGGGGTGTGGTAAAGGCATGAGTTAAGATGGTTATGCATGAGCTCTAATTCTGAAAAATGCAGATAGGAGAATGGTCACTGCTTTATGTAAAAGGACTTTTATCTCCTTGTGAATTGATGGATAGTAGGTACTGTTTATATAAAGTGAGTTGTATTTCTATGTTGAATACAATGAAACATCTCTTGAAGCATATTTTGGTTGTCTTAATGGAGATAGGAATCCAGTGTTATTTCAATTTGAACTAGTTTTTCAATTTGATGTGGAAATTCTGAAGAACTATTACCGTATATACAAATTATGATTTGATCATTTTTTAAAATTACCTGCAAGTAACCCACAATCCTACTTAACTTCTGATCAGAATTTATAGTATTTGGGGACCAGCATATAAAAGAGTTGCTTTAATAACCAAAGCATGCTTATTTATAGATAAAATGTTAGAACTGCTTTGGAAAAAGTTGAAGCTCCAGTACTGCTCAAGAGCACTAAGCTAATGGATTGTGAGGCACTAAATTTCAGAACTAGAAAAGTTCCATCCAGGGGCTTGTCTGCATTAATACCCACTTGCCCTCCCACTGCCTGACTCTGGGAATGGTTACTGAGAAATCTGTACTATGGTTTCACAGGTCATGTGCTTTGAGTATATCAGGTTTCAGTGTTATTTGCTATTCAGAAGATGCCCTTCCCCAAGTAAAAATACATAATTCATTATTAGTATTTGCAGTGTTCTGTGAAAATACAGATAAGATAACTAAGGGTAGATGAATTTGTTAAAGTTATGCCAAAGGTTGTTTTGCTGTTGTTACAAGTTTGTGCCCCACATATACAAAAGTGGCATGCATGGCATTTCCATTACTTACAGAATCTTTCTATTTATTTACATAATTGTCCTGAGACACAAAGCTGAACTACTGTCTAATGGTTGTAATTTTCCTCCTATTTTGCTTGTAATGATCACTCATGGGAGGTGAACTGTAAATAATGTGTTGCCTGAGTCAGAATATGTGCAGTTTATATTCTCTTTCTTCCCTTCCTCTCCCTTATCATCCTTTTGAGGTGATCGTGTGGAACTTGTCTGGTCTTTGGATGTTGAAATCAAAACAGATTTCCTTTTGTGGAACAAATAAAATGTTCTGTGAATGGGAATTGAAGAGAACCAACAGGTGATTACAGGAATAGGATGTAATTAATACAAAAATGCAAAATTGCTGTTGAGCTAGTCTTAAGATTAACAAGTATTAATGGTTCAGTATAATCCATGTCTTTTTATTTATTTAAGCATCTCAGGCAGATAAATTTCAGAATAGGCCTGTACAGCCTGTTAAACCAGCTTGGATATTGATATTGATGGATTTTTATATGTCAGATAATTTAGATCCCCTTTAGAGGCAAAAGTGGTTGATGAATGAATTGGTCTTTGTTGATAGTACCTCGAATAGACAATATATTTTGAGGTTTTCTAGTCACAGATTACAGTAGAAAATGCATAATTTTGAACAAATCTGACTTTAGCTACTTGAAAGTTGCATAAAGATAAAGGGAAGGGCCTGAAATATATGGACTTGTTATTGGAGGGCCATACATCTTTTCCATCCTTTTCAATCTAAGACAAGTCTTTTCTCTTAACTATCCTTAGAAACTACTAATCATTTCATAGCTGAAAAAAAACATGAAATGTAAATTGAACAAATAAATGTAACAATGCATTCTAGGAGTTGAAATTTCCCCTTTCCTTTCATCAAAGTATTTTTTTAACTGTAAAACACCATGATTCTGAAAAGATTCAGTAGCATACAGATTTAATAAATATGCCCACAAATGTTGTCAGACGAAATCCCACAGTGCTTTCGTGCATGTAGAAACAGAGATATTCAACCAAGAAGTCTTCACTGTAGTGTTGCATAATTCCCTGCCAGTCAGCACTAAAAATAATCATTGAGGTAGAAGAACTTGTTGGCCTCAGTCCATGACTTTTAAAAGATTGCACTACAGTGGGTAAAAAAACATCTGTAGAGGTCATAGTTAAATACCCTGTTTCTATGGGTAAAAAGCAATGCTAAACTTTATAGATATTTTAAAACTGTGAATTTTAACTGAGAAAGCTGTTTTTGAAGAACAGATCTCTGTTTGGAAAGAAAATAATCTGTGGTTTCCTGAAAGTGTTATTCTCAGTTCCAGTTGCTTTCAGTATCTTCAGCTGTGAATTGATTAGTTGTTTCTAAGGTTAGTTAAGTTCTTGGGTTCACATCTGTCCACATCCTGAATCCCCTGGAATTTCAGGGAAGAAATCTTTGTAATCTTAATAATAATAATAAAGTTGGAAGGGACCTTGGAGGTCATCTAGTCCAACCCCCTGCTCAGGCAGGAAATCCTATACCATTTCAGACAAAGGGCTGTCCAGTCTGTTCTTAAAAACCTCCACGGTTGGAGCATTCACAGCGTCTGGAGGCAGGTTGTTCCACTGATTAATTGTTCTGTCAGGAAATTTCTCCTTAGTTCTAGGTTGCTTCTCTCTTTGCTCAGTTTCCATCCGTTGCTCTTGTCTTGCCTTCAGGTGCTTTGAAGAATAGCTTGACTCCCTCTCCCTTGTGGCAACCCCTGAGATATTGGAACACTGCTGTCATGTTACCCCCAATACTTCTCTTCATTAAACTAGACATACGAAATTCCAGCAACCATTTCTTATATGTTTTAGCCTCCAGTCTCCTAATCATCTTTGTTGCTTTTCTCTGTACTCTTTCTAGAGTCTCAATATCTTTTTTACATCGTGGTGACCAAAACTGGATGCTATTCCAAGGCCTTATCAAGCCATTGTAAAGTGGTATTAACACTTCACATGATCTTGATTCTATCCCTCTGTTAATGCAGCTTAGCACTGTGTTGGCTTTTTTGGCAGCTGTAGCACACTGCTGGCTCATATTTAAGTGATTGTCCACTAGGACTCCGAGATCCCTCTCACAGTTACTACTATTGAGCAAGGTACCACCTATACTATACCTATGCATTTGGTTTTTCTTGCCTAAATGTAGAACCTTGCTTTTTTCACCATTGAATTTCATTTTGTTAGATAGCGCCCAGTGTTCAAGTCTGTCAAGATCCTTCTGTATCTTAAGCCTATCTTCTGGAGTGTTAGCTATTCCTGCCAGCTTGGTGTCGTCTGCAAATTTGATGAGTTCCCCATCTATCCCCTCATCCAAATCATTGATGATGATGTTGAAGAGCAGTGGGCCCAGAACAGAGCCCTGAGGCACCTCTCTATATACTTCACTCCATGTAGATGCAGTTCCATTTTGAAGACCACACACTGAGCACGGCCAGTCAGCCAGCTACGAATCCATCTGGTGGTGATGCTATCTAATCCACATTTTTCTATCTTAGTAGGTTGTGATCTACTTTATCAAATGCCTTACTGAAGACCAAGTAAATTATATCCAAAGCATTCCTCTGGTCCACTAATTTTGTCACTTGGTAAAAGAGTGTAATAAGATTTGTCTGGCATGATCTGTTTTTGACAAAGCCATGTTGCCTTTTGGTAATGACTTTATTTGCCTCTAGGTCAGTGGTGGCAAACCTATGGCACGTGTGCCAGAGGCGGCACTCAGAGCCTTCTCTGTGGGCATGCGTGCCATGCCCAGTAGATGGCAACCGTCTCTCTTCAACCAGCCTCCTGCTAACTCGCCAAGTTCCCACGTGGCTGGATGCATCCCGGCACGGCTGGTTTCCCTCCCTCCCATCCTGTCCTTCCTGGTCTTAATGCTCTCCTTTTCCCGGGCACAACCCACTGCATTACCTCCTCAGCCGTTGGCTGGCCATCCATCTCAGAGATGGCTTCTTTGAACTGCTAGTGGCGGGCTGTGAAGCCCCAGAGTGTGCCAGTCGAGGGGTCAGCAGGCTGTGGCTGCTGATGGACACTGTCGGCCCCCATGCACTCGCTGGCCTCTGTGTGCAGAGGCCAATGGTGTCAGGCAGAAACCACCCCGGCCCTTGCCTTGCCCCATGGCAATGGCACCCCCACTCTGCCTCACCTCACCCCATTGGACGAGCCTCCTGCCTACCGCCCTACCTGTCAGAGACCCTATGGATCTTCCCCAACCCTGCCCACCCCCCACACGCATCGCTCCCCACAAACAACATTGAGGTGATCACGCCCACCTTGGCCACACCCACCCAATCTGCCATGATCACCACAGCCACGCCCACCCAGTGGGACATGCACCTGGCACCCAGCAATAAATAAGTGGGTTTTGGTTTGCAGTTTGGGCACTCGGTCTCTAAAAGGTTCGCCATCACTGCTCTAGGTGTTCGCTGATTCATTGTTTGATTATCTTTTCCAGAATCCTCCCAGGTATTGAGGTCAGGCTGATAGGTTTCCTGGATCCATTTTTTCCCCCTTTTTTGAAGATGGGAACTACATCAGCTCTTTCCAGTCCTTTGGTAGTTACCCATTGCTCACGGATCTTTGAAAGATATAGTTTAGTGGTTCTGAGATCACATCTTCCTTTTGAACTTTTGGGGTGTAATACATCTGGTCCTGGTGATTTGAACTTGTCTAGGGTGAAGAGGTGCTCACTTAACATTTTCTTGCCTATCTTAACTTGTGTTTTTAAACTGTTTTTGATAGGTTGGACTATTTTTTCCCTTTGTGTAAAGATGGATGCAAAAAACAAGTTAAGTGGTTCTGCTTTCTCCCTGTTGTTTGTCACCTTCTTGCCACTTTCTCCTTAACTTTTTTCTTGCTTTTTACTAGAACTTAACCAGAACTTCTACTATACAAGCACAACTGACCTGTGTGGGAGATAGATATTGGGCCATAGATATTACAGCATAGGAACTAAACAGGATAATACTAAAAGTAATAATAAAGTAAAAGTAAAGGTATCTGCATCTTTAGATCATTGTGTGTAAAGTAAAAACAAAATCTCACTTTGAAAGTACTGATATATCCTGGCCTGGCAAACACCAACTTGAAAATAATTTCATGGTGGAAGTCTTATTGCTAAAGTGTTGTGTAAATTCAGCAACTATAGCTTAATCAACAACCATGATTAAATAAACAGTGGCTTATTGCAATGTGTGAATCAATCTATTATGATAGAAAGCAATGATGAAGATTTAAAAGAAAGGTTTAGACAAATCTAAGAAAGATAAGGATATCAGTGGTTATGCCTTTATAGGTAGTTTGGGATAGAGGCAATAGGTTATTCCATATAGTTGTTGAGGAAGAATGTAGTTGTGTCATGTCCTGTTTGTGGATTGCGTATAAGTCTCTTGTTGGCTGTGGGGATACAGAAGGCTGGATTAGATCCAGCACAGCTCTTCTTGGGTTCTTAACTTAGGGATCCATTCTTACTGGAAAGTTAATTTTGTGTTATTTTGAAGGCTTTATGCCTTCTCTGCGGCCTTTGTGGTTTCTTTTCTATTCCAAAAACTCTTTGCTCTGTAATTATCATTTCTGAAGAAAACCATGTTTTGCCCTTTATATAGAGTGTTCAAGTTTATCCTGGAAAGGACAGGATAAAGGGACAGGATGTTTACAAGTCTTTGGATAGTGGAAAAGGTCCCTTCCAACTTTATTATTATTATTGTTATTATTATTATTATTATTATTGTTGTTGTTATAGTTACCTCAATTTTTCCTTTGCCCACATTTGTGTATGTAAGTTTTAGTTGGAATGTAGATCCTTGTAGTCTCTTTATGGGAAGAAAGGCGAGATATAATTAAAAAAAATGAAAATAATGCACAGTGTGGGGGAAAATCTTTCTTATTGCTGTTTCTGATCTAGAGTTCTGAACTACTGTGTTTGACTTCTATCTACACCAGATAAATTTCATAAGCTGCAATTTTATCAGTGTTTACATGCTCAATTCTGATCAGTAAATTTTAGTCTCAGGGCCTTGTAGACCAGATTGTAGCTTTAATCACTTTGAATTCTGTAACTAGACCTTGACTACCAAGAAGCAGGCATTATGTGACCAATTTTGTCCTATTTGGAACATTGATAGCCAGATGTTATTCAATGAGATGTTAATCCTCTGCCATGAATTGAATTCATGAACTCTTGAACTTTAGATGTTTATATAGATTGTATTAACTTTAGGAGCTATTTGGAATTTGCAGGAAAAAATATATAGAATCTGTTAGAATGGTATATATACTCTACTTTCGCTTAAGCTCTCAGAGTAGAGAGATACAGATGTTATGTTATATCATGCTCCCATATAAAACTTCACACACAAGGTATGCCATAGTGTATTGTTCATATCTCTTTGCTCTAAAAGCTTAAAAACATAGATGTTCTAGATTGTCATTTCAAAAGGATGATGATTGCTCTCTATTAAGCAGGAGACAATTTTTAATGCCCATTTTTATACATTTGTTGCAATTGATTCAGCTTCTTCTTTAAAGCCAAATAAGCCTTGATAATTAGTCATGAAGTTCTGTGATTCTGTGACTCATTCCACAACATGTATATTCTATTGCCCTTTTTCAACATAAAAATAATTTATTCTATTTTCCAAGCATAGCCAAATATCTTCTGTTCTAAATAGCAGAACATAACAAGTTAAGTTCTTTTTCTGATAGCCAGTCTGCTTTGGCAGAATCTTTTGGTAAGTGTTGAAAAACCTTAGAATTTCTAATGATATATTTCAAAAATAAATCCTTGTTGAACAATCTCTTACTAGATCTTGATGATTTCCTTGGTTTTACAGCACTGGGACGTCTTCAAGTATGTGACCGAAGTATTTATCCTGGTTCCAGCTCTCTTGGGGCTGAAAGGGAATTTGGAGATGACATTAGCTTCTCGCCTTTCTACTGCTGTGAGTATTTTGATCATTTGACAGGCAAACAGTCTTCATTTTCTAACTTTTTTAATATGGAAAGAGCATGTGTTCAAGAAAGATTTTCTGTGAACACATTTTCAAACAATATCGGTTACCTCAAGTAAAAAGTTAAATGACTACATGTTCTCTTACAAGTGAAGATTATCTACATTTGGGATGTATATGTATGCAACTGTTCTCAGTTTAATTAAGGAAGCATTATAATGACCAGTATTTTAGGACCACAGTATTATTTTCTACCTTGTTATGACATGACTTAGTACTGCTAGGCAATAAGAACATAGTCTGTGCGTAAACAGGTAGTATATTGTCATATACGGTCTCCAGATGTGGACAGAATAATATAAAAACAGTGTCTTAGGTTCCCAATTATCCTTGCTTTCCCATTTGATCCCTGTTACTGCAAAACTTACTTAGATTTAGAAATTTAGAAATTCTTGTGAAAGGTATAAGATAGTTGAAGGAGTTCAATAATGAAAACGTGGAGGCAAACAGCATGTCAGGTTTTTTTTTAATGATGTAAGTTCACATTTTGCTAATTTTCACCTTTTCTCATTTTCATTCTTTATTTTTGGGCTTGATCTCAAGTTCCAAGATCACTGATTGTATGACTATCTCTTCTTCTGAAATATGACTGATTTGATATTTTTGTAATTTTCCAAGACTTCTTAACTGCCATTATATCAGCATACAAAAGCACATTCTACTTAAATTTTAATATTTCCGTCTATTTAATTCTATAAGGTTGCAGAATTCAGAGTAAACATTCTCCTGCTGACTGGAGCAGTTAAATATTCCTTAATCAAATCCATTTATTCTTTACCATATTTTCCCTATCCCTGTTTTCTGTATTCAGAAAATATCAGGTGTAATTATATCATTGCCAAGATAATTTACTTCAACCCTTAGAAAACCTGTGAATGAAATTGGCGTGCCCAACATTAAATAGTAATAATAGTAAATTTTATTATAGTCATTGGCCAACTCAAAAGCAAATAAACTCTGAGACAGTCAATAAAAACATAGTAAAACGTAATAATTGTAGCATTGATATAATCAAAGTGTAATATATAGAGTAGATTCAGAGAAAGCTGATTAGATAGGGAATCATTGCTGAAATGGCACATGTGTAATAGTGATATAGCAAAATATTTGTTACAGCTTCAGAATTTTTTTCATCATAAGGGCCAAATCTTGATTCAAATGGAATAGCAATGATAGTCACCAATGATAAAGGCCAGTCAATCAGTACAACTGTCTTACTACAGTTCTAAACATTTGCTATAAGAGAACTGTAGTAGAAATGTAATGATGTTTGGCTTTCAGTGACTTAGGTCATAATTTTACTAAGTTATGGATTGTTAAGTAAATCACAGGGACTGTCATCATATAATATGTTAACTTAAAACTGTTATAGTTTAGTGAGATGTGTGAACCCAGCAGCCAGTGAATTGTCTCCCTGTTTATAATGTATGAACCCAAATAGCAGATTAATTTGTACTAGTTTTGAGATACATCTTCAGTTTGTACTCATGGTTTGAACTAACATTGCATAAATCTATAAATGGTCATTCTGGGGATATGAAATCAGATTGTCTGATTTTGGCAAAGCATGATGTGACTATTCAACTATTGCAGTGGTCACCACGATGTGAAAAAGATGCTGAGACTCTAGAAAGAGTACAGAGAAGAACAACAAAGATGATTAGGGGACTGGAGGCTAAAACATATAAGGAACAATTGCTGGAATTGGGTATGTCTAGTTTAATGAAGAGAAGGACTGGGTGGGACATGATAGCAGTCTTCCAATATCTCAGGGGCTGCCACAAAGAAGAGGGAGTCAAGCTATTCTCCAAAGCGCCTGAAGGCAGGACAAGAAGCAATGGATGGAAACTAATCAAGGAGAGAAGCAACCTAGAACTAAGGAGAAACTTCCTGACAGTTAGAACAATTAACCAATGGAACAACCTGCCTCCAGAAGCGGTGAATGCCCCAACACTGGAAATTTTTAAGAAGAGACTGGACAGCCATTTGTCCAAAATGGTGTAGGGTTTCCTGCCTGAGCAGGGTGTTGGATTCGATGACCTCCAAGGTCCCTTCCAACTTTATTATTATTATTATTATTATTAATAATAATCATAATCATGTTGTCAAATATGGCTTATTCCATTGGCCAAAGTTAAAAGTAAACACAGCTTAGTGCAATACAGTATATGAATCTATATATGTAACTCTGGTTATTGTAGTGCAGAAGATATTTCCCAACATTGAAGACTCCATGTAATCAGATATTGCTACCTTCTGCAATTGTTTGTTTGTTTTTTTGGCAGTTAACAGATACCCATTATGAGGACGGCTTTGGCTTACCTTGTACAAATGCTACAACCTTAAATCTACTATAGAACTCTCTAGTTGTTTCTTATTTGACCTTGGCTTAAGAACTGTTTCCTTCCTCAGTCCTGCTCGGAGCTGTGCTTCTATGGAACATGAGTCACAGTGTGACCACTGAAGCTCTTGCTGTGTTCCAGCAAAGCTGAAAGATGCTGGCAGCAAGAGAAGCTTGGCTGGGAAACAAACAAAGCTTTTTATTCTCTCTCATCCTCTTCTTGTTGCTCTCCTCTGCTATGGGGATAGGGGAAAGGCATTTGCTATTACTGCATTAATATGTTGTATGAGGGAATTCCACATACAGAGACCTGAATGCTTCCTCAGCATTTAAGTTTGCAAGAATGACTTCCAGCTTACCAATTATACTGAAACTGCGTCAAGTGGGATTCAAAGGTGTTGCTCTTTTTCACAGTAAGATTTTATGAGTTTGAGCTGGCAGTAAGTTGTGACTTCAAAGAGTGTCTCTTCTGCCTTGAAAGGACCTACATGTATCCCTTCTTAATCACAGCCATCCAAGGGAGGATCAACAGCCATCAGAAGTATTTTGGAGCGGCTTTTAAAAATCAGTTTGCTTGATCTTTATGCTGTATGCAAAAGAAGCTTAGAATTACTTCCTGGTTCTCATTTGACATGCATTGACACTTCCAAAATAATTTTATTTGGTTACTTAAGAAAGGAGAACACATTCATCCTGTGCAGGAGATTAAGTGTTTGTTTTTGCCAGTAGCCAAGTTATGTGGATCACTAACCTAATTGCAAGAGAACAAGGAATCCCTGAGCCAAATTCAACAGTAGAACTAAATACAATTTTGTAAGCTGAATGACTTGTGTCCTATCTTTCTCTTTGGACCTTGCCAGATTTGGGACTGCCAGCAGCTTTATGTGTCTTTTCCTCTGAAGCAGTTTTGTTGCTGGTGATGTTTTGCTTTCTATTTCTACTGGTGAAACATGAGAGAAGCATAAATGAGACAAAGAGCCAGTTCACCTAATAGACAGGCAAACATAAATGTGAAAAGGGGAATTATAGAAAGGTCTGGTAATAATGCTTAAGCCACTGATGTAACATTCATATTATATGATTTAAGATTATGAGCTTAAGCCATTATATTTTATCATGGTTTGTTAACAAACCATTATGAATTATGCATAGCCCTAATGAGTTCACACTGAATATTAAATTTTAACCATGCCAGTATAGAGTGGAAGTGATTCATGATTGATGGCTGCTTTAATTGTTCTGTTTATGTATCCATCTATCTCTAGCTATATTACATTTAAAGCAAAAACAAAACAGGATTTCACTGGTTGAAATACTGGGAGATTAGGTTGATAGCTCTAGAGCAGGGGTCCCCAACCCCTGGTCCGTGGACCAGTACCAGACCGCAGCATGACAGCAACCGGGCTGCACAAACAAGCAAAGCTCCATCCTCAGGATGAAGGCAGTATTCGAAACCACACCCCCTCCGGTCTGCAGGAAAACCTCTCTCCACGGAACCAGTCCCTAGTGCCCAAAAGGTTGGGGACCTCTGCTCTATGGAACTCATGATCTTGAATAAAAATAACTATAATAATAGTAATTAACCTGTATTTGAGATACACATACATATATTCATACAGTGTGTTTGGATTTGTAAAAAAAGAGAAATCTTTGGATATAAGTACACTAATTCAGATGATATTAAAAGATTAATGTGTAATTGTAAGCAAGGGTTTTTCTTTTCAGATTGATGGACAAACATCAATATAATAATTCTCCAGCATGACGAGTGGAGAATCCACCAATGGGTTCTGCTTGTCTTCTGCCCGTAGACTAAGTCAGCCAAATTTTTGCTCCACCTCTCCTCCTGAGACGCCCCTTTCCCAGTTTTGACTTAGTCTCAAGCCCGGACAGACAGGTTTTTCTTGGCTCCAGACTTAAAGGACTTTGAATCAGGTTGTATTCTTCTATTAATTTCACCCAAAGAGGGGGGGGGGGAGAGGCAGAGCAAAAATTTGGCTGACTTAGTCTATGGGCAGAAGACAAGCAGAACCCATTGGTGGATTCTCCATCACGCTGAGAAAAGGCGTTCAGGTAAAACAACGCCCCTTTTGCTGTAGTTATCATGTCTAAAAACAAAGGTGGAAAGATTCACTATTACCCACAAGGGAGGAATAGGTGAAGATATGAAACTTGCAGATATGGCTAAATTCCTTGATAAGAGAAAGAATAATATATTTATGACTGGAAATGCCTTATACACATCTTGCATGAAATAAAGAAAAATAAACATATGATTTATGGTTTTTGATGATTAGAAAAAATAATTATAGAAAAGTTCTATTTGCAACCATAGAGTAAGAGATAATTTTCTGTTTGTACTTATAACTGCTGTAAAGAAAATTGGAAACTACTACTTTCTATTTCTTTTCTATTTTCTTTTTTGTACTGTTGTTTTTTTATTCTATATTATTCTATTAGAGTAAACAGAGTAAATATACTCTACAGTATTTTACTCTATTAATTTTTATTAGTTTTTAATCTTTTTAAAAATATTTAATCAAAGCTATATTAAAAATATGATAAGCAAGACACTTGCTAAAGCAGTAAATCTAGAGTTGTAATAGTGAGTCTATCTTCCAGTTCATAATACTTCTGTAGTTATCATACTAAATAAATTTGAAATAATTCAGGAAGCATCACTTCAGCTACTTATTTTAATTTCTCTCTCTCTCTCTCTCTCTCTCTCTGTCTCTCTGTCTATTTTGTAGGCTAACATAGGACAAATGGACACACCAAAAGAGCTCTGGAAGATGATAATAGGAAACATGGCTCTGATACAGGTGAATTTTGGAGAAGCTGACACTTTCTTGATGGGGGGGGCAGGGAAAAAAGCCAGTAGGGGAGGGGAAATCCCACCTTTCTACTACTGGGCAATTTCTGGATACATCTGTCATATAATCATCTGTTCCAAAGAATGTTAAGCAGTCTGTTGGCAGTCACTACTGCTACAGCCTAGAAAAAGTTTCTGTTAAAGTGTAATAGAAGTCCCTTCTGAGTCCTTTCCTGTGACTTAGCAAAAGAATCAGGATTTATCAGTGATGGCAAGAACCTGAGAAAGTACCAGTTTGAAGCACTGGAGAGGCAGACTTACCTAGGACACCCAGCAATTTCTGTCATCTGTCACCACAATTAGAATGACATTTACTAGTCTCCAAAATGGTTCCATGTAAATGAGAATACAGTTTGCTCTTCATGAGGCTGCCGTAGAAGAGCACTTGGAAACTGCAGCTGGAACTGTTATCTCAATAGAGTAACAACTATCTTTCAAGACCTGCACTGACTTCCACTAGATGGTAAGCAGGTGCAGTTCAAATAGTCTGGACTTTATTTTGGAAATCATTTTTATAAGTAGAATTTTTCTGTCTTAAGCAGTTTGGGTAGGATGGTGAACCCCAATGCCTCCTGGGATTCCAAGGATGAGCTTTGCAGTACAAGTAATCCCCGAGTTATGAGCATTCACTAAACGCTTATTTGAAGTTACACGATAAGTGCCCCCTAATGTTTACGAGAAAATCCCCAAATTACGAATGTTGCAGCACCACAGCAGTTGTTCGCCCTTACAAATGACTGCAGAGGCTCTGCAACTTTCACTAAATCCTGCACCGCTCCCCACAACTGCTGCCCCCTCCCTCCCTTCCTGCCATGCCAGACCCACCTTAAGAAGATCTGTCTCCTCTCTGCCACAATTTCTGCCTTTGAGGGAGAGGAAGCTTCTGGATGCGGTAACATCGTGCGAGTTCAGGCATCCGTCCTCTTTTGCAGAAAATGGGTACCTGAACTATCGCGAGATCACAGACCCCAGAAACTTTCATTTTTGGTACAAACTCTGTGCCTTTCTCCTCTCCCCCAACTCCTTTCTGCCACCACTGGAACACTTTTTATCCGAAAGGAGACCCTGTGGAGATGGGGAGCTCCATATGTGAGGAAGTGCAACACTTGAAAATGCAGCAAATTGCTGCTTTTTCAAGCACCCCATTTCCTCACAGACGAAGCTTCCCATCTCCCCTAGGTCTCCATTCGGATAAAAGGTGTTTGAGTGCCTATAGGACTCTTGGAAACGCAGCGATTCACTGCGTTTCCAAAGATCCCATAGGCACTCAAACACCTTTTATCCGAATGGAAACCTTGTGCAGATGGGGAGCTCCGTCTGTGAGCAAACACAATGCTTGAAAACGCAACAAATCCTTACATTTTCAAGCATTGCATTTGCACAGAGATGGAGCTCCCCAAGGTCTCTGGACAAAAAATGTTTGAGCAGCAGTGGCTTGAGTTTCTCCGCTCCATCCGAGAGGAAGGAAACGAAGGCTCAATAAGGCTGGCGCATGCGAGCAAGCAGCGCACCTGCATCTTCTTGAGAGCAATCCTGCTCTGTGCCTCCAGTTTCTTCCTTTCGGATGGAGCAAAGAAACTCAAGCCACTGCTACTGCTTAAGTTGGGAGGATCACAAGGAGAAGAGGGGTCAGGATTTGTGCCAGTCAGGCAAGGAGTAGGTCGGGCTGGCTGGGAAGGGGTGATCGTGGCCACTGAGGTGGCTCCATCACCGCCAGCAACTTGGACGCAGGTGCAAGGGGACTCACCTCGCAATGCCTCTCTGTTCAGTTGAAGGCTTTGTTCCTGCCCTCAAACTAAGGCTGGCGCACGCAAGCGAGCATTGCACTCAGGCCATGGACAGCATTGTTTCTTGCGCCTGGCCAACTCTGATTCCACGCTTTGCCCCATAGGCAAGCAAATTAAGCAAACACTCCCCCCCCCAGAATGGAAGCTTCTGGGAGCCATGATCTCTTTTGAACTCGCATGACATTACAGCACCCAGGAGCTTCCATTGACAGCATGAAAAGCATTTCCAAGCCGACTCTCCTCTCCCTCAAAGGGAAAGAAACAGCAACAGAGAGGATTTTTGCAAGATAAGTGAGTTCGACACAGCAGGAAGAGAGGGGGAAGCATGAGGTATCTTAGTGGGTCGGGGAGTTCCATGGCCTTCCCCACCCTGAGATACCTTATGTGCACTCAATGAGCCCTGTGTGTCTTAACGAGCAGGGAGCGATCTTGTTTGAGATATGAGATTCACTCCCACGAATTTTTGAGTTAGGAATGGAATGGGCAGGCTCCACTGCATTCACAACTCAAGGACTACCTGTAGAATGGTTTGCCTCCCAGAATCAGATTGAGCCTCATCCAGTTTTCCTTTAGAACAGGGGTGTCAAACTGCCAGCCCGTGAGCTGGATGTGTCATCCAGAAGCTGCGCCCACCCCATTGCTGGCAATGGCAAAACCGTCCTGATACATTGCTCAACGTCATGTGATGTCGCAAGTTTGACATGTCTGCTTTAGAAGATCAGTGAAATCAGTTTTCTTCCATGGAAAAGTTTTGACTGAATACGAGGACACTGTATATTGTCTTTTATATTTTATTATTAGTGGCTATGATTTATCTATGTGAGCTATCTAATGTGTGATTAATCAGGCAACATATTTTTCTAACCAATGAACTTATTTTTTTTCCTGCAAATAAACATGGCTGCATTTTCTAGGTTCAAGCAACAGTTGTTGGTTTTCTGGCTTCAATTGCTGCAGTGATATTTGGCTGGATCCCAGATGGACACTTCAGCGTTGGCCATGCCATTCTCCTTTGTGCCAGTAGTGTGGCCACTGCCTTCATTGCCTCCCTTGTGCTGGGTAAGAAACAAATGCTTCCGTGCGAAAGATATTTCATCCATAGTTCATTGTGTAGTAACACTAACATCTCCTTTCTGTCGGCTCTAGGCATGATCATGATTGGTGTAATCATTGGTTCCAGAAAGATGGGTATCAATCCTGACAATGTGGCTACGCCTATTGCTGCCAGTCTTGGTGACCTCATTACCCTGGCTCTGCTTTCTGGGATAAGCTGGGGCCTCTATATAGAACTGGGTAAGATTATGAAGACTACATTGTTCAGTAGGAAATACTGTATGTGCCAACATTTTATAGTATTTAAATACCTTGAACTCTGTAGTTCATTGCTATTGATCTAGTTTTAACATCTAATTGTATAATTGTAATCATCCTTTTTCACATCATCCTTTTTAGTAATACAGAAAAGATACAGACTACATCGCCAGTCTTAGTTCCCATGTGCCACATGCAGTATTCCTAACAATAAGGACTAAACCAGTCAGCCTTGGGGCCAATATGCCAATTAAGATGTAGAATATTCCAAGTGTTGAAAATATGAAAAAAGGTGCTTGGTGAATGAAAGAGGCAGGAGATGAGGAAAATGCATATAAGAAAATGAAATCCCATCCATCTTTTTGCTGGAAAAAAATGGATGGGATATATTGTATGGTGTGTCCTTAAAGAAAGCTAATAAGCAAAGAAAGTAATCAAAAAGAACAAGAAATGGTTATGAATAAAAGAGGGAGAGAGAATGCAGAGTAATTTGGATGAAAATAAAGAATTGTGTTGGAAGTGGGTAAACATTTGAAGAGGGTGTAGCAAAGGGATTGGAATGAAAAATGTGATGAAATGATTAAAGTGAAGTGAGAGAATGAGAAAAGGGGGATTTCATAGATTTCTATGGAAATAAAAGTATTATGTTGGAGTGTAATTGAAATGGAAGCTGTAAATGCTAGTGCTCAAGAAAAAATGTGAATAGTGAACAATGGGAAGATTGCAGATATAAATGGTATAACTAGAGAATGCTAAAAATATAATCTTATGGAGTGGCTGTATAATTTGAGTAGTGGATGAGATGTATGCGATTGCATCTATGTCTGATGATAGGAAGAATGTTACTATTGTTCATATAAATATATTCGTCTTTCTACATTGAGGGAAAAAATTATTTGATCCCCTGCTGATTTTGTATATTTGCCCAGTGACAAAGAAATGATCAGTCTATAATTTTAATGGTAGGTTTATTTTAACAGTGAGAGACAGAATAACAACAAAAAAATCCAGAAAAACGTATTTCAAAAAAGTTATAAATTGATTTGCATTTGAATGAGTGAAATAAGTATTTGATCTATCAATCAGCAAGATTTCTGGCTCCCAGATGTCTTTTATACAGGTAACGAGCTGAGATTAGAAGCACTCTCTTAAAGCCAGAAGCAATCAATCAGATTCCAAATTCTCCACCATGACCAAGACCAAAGAGCTGTCCAAGGATGTTAGGGACAACATTGCAGATCTATACAAGGCTGGAATGGGCTACAAGACAATCTCCAAGCAGCTTGGTGAGAAGGTGACAACAGTTGGTGTGATTATTCACAAATGGAAGAAACACAAAATAACTGTCCATCTCCCTCGGTCTAGGGCTCTATGAAAGATCTCACCTCATGGAGTTTTAATTATCATGAGAACGGTGAGGAATCAGCCCAGAACTACACAGGAGGATCTTGTCAATGATCTCAAGGCAGCTGGGACCACAGTCACCAAGAAAACAATTGGTAACACACTGCACCAGTGGTGGCGAACCTATGGCACGGGTGCCAGAGGCGGCACTCAGAGCCCTCTCTGTGGGCACGCGCGCCATCGCCCCAGTCCTAGGCCTTCAGCTGGGTTTTATAAAACCTTTTCACTTTAGGCCTCCGCTGCCGTAAGCAAAAAAAAAAAGGTTCAATCATTCAGTCAATTTCAACTTCTCGCGGGGAAAAAAAAGATCTTGCAAAGTTGGAATAGATTGATTGAACTTTTTAGTCCCACCCAGTCTGCCGTTACCACTGCAGCCACGCCCACCCAATTGGCCACACCTACCCAATTGGCCACACCCAGCCAATGGGCCACACCCCCTGGCACCCGACGATGCATAAGTGGGTTTTGGGTTGCAGTTTGGGCACTTGGTCTCTAAAAGGTTCGCAGTTACTACACTACGCCGTGAAGAACTGAAATCCTGCAGCACCTGCAAGGTTCCTCTGCTCAAGAAAGCACATGTACAGGCCCGTATGAAGTTTGCCAATGAACATCTGAATGAGTCAGAGGAGAACAGTGAAAGTGTTGTAGTCAGATGAAACAAAATTGAGCTCTTTGGCATCAACTCGCCATGTTTGGAAGAAGAGGAATGCTGCCTGTGATCCCAAGAACACCATCCCCACCGTCAAACATGGAGGTGGAAACATTATGCTTTGGGGATATTTTTCTGCTAAGGGGACAGGACAATTTCACCACATCAAAGGGACAATGCACAGGATCATGTACCATTAAATCTCGGGTGAGAATTTCCTTCCTTCAACCAGGGCATTGAAAATGGGTCATGCATGGCAATGGCCCAAAACCCACAGCCGAGTCAACAAAGGAGTGGCTCAAGAAGAAGCACATTTAGGTCCTGGAGTGGCCTAGCCAGTGTCCAGACCTTAATCCCGCACAAAATCTGTGGAGGAAGCTGAAGGTTCGAGCCGCCAAACGTCAGCCTCAAAACCCTAATGACTTGGAGAGGATTTGCAAAGAGTAGTGAGATGTGTGCAAACCTTGGTGGCCAACTACCAGAAACGTCTGAGCTCTGTGATTGCCAACAAGGGTTTTGCCACTAAGTACTAAGTCATGTTATGTAAAGGAGTCAAATACTTATTTCACTCATTAAAATGCAAATCAATTTATATCTTTTTTGAAATGCGCTTTTCTGGATTTTTTTGTAGTTATTCTGTCTCTCACTGTTAAAATAAACCTACCATTAAAATTATAGACTGATCATTTCTTTGTCAGCAGGGGATCAAAATAATTTTTCCCTCACTGTACAGTATGTTTATTTTGCTTTGTATTTTTGTGATTCTTTGGGTAGAGTAATAATTTTTAATGAAATACTGATTATCTGCTGATGAAGAACTTTGAATTTTTCATCATGTAGTATACAATAACTAAAAGAAATGTTTTGCTTCATTGGAAAGATACTATCACTCCATACTTAAAATATAAGATATATTTTCCCCCTCTTTCTTTGAATTTACTCAATGTCACTCCATGTGGTCAAGGTTCAATTACATTTAAAAACCCTTCCAACTCTGTTATCCTGTTATTCAACCTAGTAGCTTGTATGTTTGCATAGTGATGTATATGTATATAGTTATAAGTTTTTATTTGTTATGTGTGGCTTGAATATTAGGGGCATGATGTTGCTTGCCCCTAAAAGGAATAGTGTAATACATAAATTACAAGTAGGATCAATCTTAATTATGCAGCTTTATTACAAATATGGGTATTTGTTTCTTATTAAAAATATGGGTATTTGTATGTAGAACAAGTGACCCTTTGTCTCTTCTGGGATTCTTCTCATTGAGCAATTGGTAGTACCAGTAACGATCTTAGACAGGCAAATTAGTCCAACTGAAGAAAATGTTCTCTGCCTGCCTGCTTCTCACTTCTGAGATTCTTCCCTAATGGAAAGAGTAAAGGAACTATCCAGATCAGATTATTTGCAGATCAAGAGGCAATCTTAGAATTGCATTAGCTATCTACTCACCCTTTTGAAGCAATGTGGATGTGCTGAGGTACAAACAGTACCTGCCTATAGCTCCTTAAATCAGCATCTTCTGAGCATCCATAGCAAGTTAAGGAGTGAAATGTTTCTATCATCATGCTCTCTGAAGCACGTTTTTGGAATCGAATCTCAAATGTTGCATAGCTACCATATATAAAAACTACAGTTTGATGTAGTGATTAAGGCAGCAGGCTAGAAGCTGGGAGACTGAGTTCTAGTCCCATCTTAGGTGACCTTGGGCCAGTCATTCAGCCCCGGAAAAAAGCAATGGCAAGCCACTTATGAAATCTTACCAGGAAAACTGCAGGGACTTGTCCAAGCAATTACTAGGAGATGATGCTTACTTGAAGGGACAAAAAAAATAATAATCTAGCAACCCATAAATAAAGTGGAAACCTGTCTGTGCAAATTGCACAATGGGTGCTATTTCTAGAATTTCAGCTAAGAGAATAGCAGTTATACTACATAAGTATGTTGCTTAGATATACTGTAGGGACCAGCTACACAAATGGAATCCATTTGTATTTCTGAGATATAGGTGTGGGGATATAGATTTAGGAATTCATTAAAACAAATTGTAGATAGTTTGTGTGTTGACCTTAAAGTCTTCTGCCTGTGGCTAAAAAGAAACGATTGTCTTCTTTAGGTGAAATGTGATAAATATTTCACTTGCTGCTTTGATCTGCTGTATCTGCCATGCACTAATTGTTCATTCAAATCCCTTTTCTTCTATCTAGAAGACAAGCCTTATGTGAATCCCTTGGTGTGTGCTTTTTTTGTTGCACTGCTCCCCCTCTGGATCATCATTGCTAAGCGGAATCCAGCAACCCAGGAGGTACTATATTCTGGCTGGGAACCAGTCATCATTGCCATGGCAATTAGCAGGTATGAATAGCGATAAGAATAGCACTTAGACTTATATACCACTTCATAGTGCTTAACAGCCCTCTCTAAGCAGTTTACAGAGTCAGCATATTGCCCCCAACAATCTGGGTTTTCATTTTACCAACCTCGGAAGGATGGAAGGCTGAGTCAACCTTGAGCTAGTGAGGATCAAATGCCTGGCAGTAGGCTGAATTAGCTTGCAATACTGCATTCTAACCACTGTTCCACCATGGCTCATGAAGACTGCAAGAGTACCCTCCCCACTTCATGAAATTGGGCTCAGTGAACCAAATAAAATTGAAAAGGCAAAACAGATGTTTGAATTTTTTAAATTCAACATAGTTGAGTCCATTCAAAAGCTGAAGGGTATTAAAAAGCTCACTTAGATATTTAATTATTATTTCATTTCCAAAGCTCAGTATTATGTACTAAACCGCCTATGACCCCTTGAGTCATTGTTTCAGAGATATTTTCTTACCAGATTCCTCAGTGCCTTCAACAATGGCAGACCTAATGTACTTGAAAAAATCTTAAAAATTCAGGGAGATATTCAGATAGGTGTCTGCCTTGAAATTAGCCAATGTTTAACTGTATAACAGAGTCAAACATCATGAGTTGACAATAGGAAATGTGTTATGACATTTTGTATTGTTCATAAAATGGTTTATGGTTTTATGTCCTATAAAAAGTTTTATAAAATTTACTAAAGTCATAGGTCCCAGATTTTGGATGTATTCTGTAACTTAGCTCATTTGGGATACCTTGGTTCAAAAAGTATTGCCCTGTGATGCACTGTTTCATCCAGTTAATGATTACAGATACAAGAGTTTAGTAGTATATAGACCAGTGTTTCCCAAACTTGACAATTTTAAGGCATGTGGACTTCAACTCCCAGAATTCCACAGCCAGCGTTGCTGGCTGTGGAATTCTGGGACTTGAAGTCCTCATGCCTTAAAATTGTCAAGTGTGGGAAACACTGATATAGACTAATATTATACCATCCTAACAATCTCAATACTGATATTCCTTGATCAAATGTAATGGAATCCTCTTTTTTAACAAACGTCAACAAAAGTGCAAATTGCCTTCCTTAAACTTTACAGTAAACTATTAAGAATCTTGTTCAGCGTCATGTATTAACACTGTATAATAACAATGATAGAATTTACCTTTTTCTTTTAATTCAGAAAAAAAATGATTTTGGAAGTTTATTCAAATTTAAAAACTAAACAAATCTAGAGTTGCATATCTGTAATCATTTCCCTATGTTCTGATTTTAGGAAGACAATTTTTTTTTTTTTTGAAATCTAGACACACCTTTCAATAGATGGAATGTTCCAGTATTGTGATGAAATGAGCTAAAGAACCTCATTTCTAATATGTCTTTTTTTCCTACTCCTTTTCTTACCTAGAAACAAACTACAAGTGTTTAGGTTCTCAAAAACATTTTATAGGGTGTGCTTGAAAGAAACAAACATTGGGGGAAATTATTTAATGAATGCATGTGTACTTTTAGAATGCACTCAATATTTTCCAAGCATCACAAAAAACAAACAAGTTTTTGAGGCTGTAGCAGTAATTCTTTTATGCAGTTAGCTATTATATCTTTCAATTTTTTTCAATGTTTCTTCTTTCAGTGTTGGAGGATTGATATTGGATAAAACAGTGTCAGATCCAAATTTTGCAGGAATGGCAGTCTTTACTCCTGTTATAAATGGTGAGCTGTTCTTTGTTTTAAGCACTCAACTTCAATATATTTAACACTTGGTGAGAGAGCTAGTGAAATATTCCTGTATGTTGTGGGAATGAAAACTCATGTGACTAATCTTGCATCTTGTTTATGGTCCATGGGTAACTGTAGAAATTGCTGCTTTAGGAACTTCTTCAACTTTCTTGAGCCAGTGATGCATGATGGTTAGGATTCTAAACTACACTGGGAAGTTTTAGAATCAAATCCAAGTTTAGCTGTATGTTATTAGATTATGGGCAGCCATGATGTCTAATCCCAACCTACCGTACAGGGCTATTGTGAGGTTAAAAAGGGAGGAAAGAATGCTATATTTATTTATGTATAGTATTTATAACTCACCCCAATCCTAAAGGACCCTGGAGATATACAATATCAAAGAAAAACATGAGGATAAATAAATCCAAATGAATATCAAAGGCAGAAATTAACCATATACAAAAAAAGCAAAGATGGCTTCCGGATCATGGCAGCTTCAACCATACGAAGAGCTATCGCTCTTCGTTGGCTGTTTTTCTCTCTACCGGTAGACCCTTATGCGGGTCTTAAATCGCCCTGGAGGGGTGACCACCGTCAAGGCTTTTGCTCGGCTGCGGTGGAGTGGCAGCTCCCCCTATAGTCTGAGCTAACTCCGTAGGGCCGATGGAGAAGATCAGTCAGTAAAATGGCCAATCACTTCGCTGTGCCGGCTGAAGTCAGAAAATCATCTAAGCATAAAGAACCACCTTTCCTCCCTCTCTCCGTCCTGAATTATTTTTCCTGCAAAGAGCTTGCTTTTTGGACGACTTCCCTGTTCTAAGGAAGCGGCGTCTATCTGTTTGGTGGGGAAAAAAATACTTCAAACAAAACTACAGTGTAGCACTTATTATATTTTGAGCCTTTTGGATATTGGGCATCCCTGGAAAGATTTGTAGTTTAGAGCATTATTTTACTTACTATACTGAAGATATTTGCTTTTTTCTGTCTTTTTCTTTGTCATTCTTTTTTTTTTATTAAAAAGTTTTACAAAAATTACAATATTAACCCACCCAAAAAACCCCCTCCCTCCCCCACTTCCCAGAGCTGAATACAGGGTTACAAATATGATAATCATAATATAATTAACATTACCAACTATATAAATAACCAAATCCATAATGCACTTTAACTCTCCTTTAACATAAATATAAGCAAATTAAAAGTGAACATAATAATAATGAGAACATAAACAAATTAATATCCTAATTATTAAACAATACAATCCCCAAATAGTTACAGAATACTAATACTAAAATAATAATAATTTCATAATAATACTCTAAAATTCACTCATAGGCTAAATGAAACTTTTTAGTCCCATATATATTCTGAATATAATTTATCCATCTTCTCCAGACCAAAATGTATCTTTCTTGTGAATGATCCTTCAAATAAGCAGAAATCTTAGCCATTTCTGCTAAATTTGACACTTTAATTGTCCGTTCTTCTATAGTAGGCAAGCAATCCTTCTTTCAATATTGCCCTACTAATAACCTTGCAGCTATTATCAAATTCAATATCAAATTAATTTCTTTATCATCACAATCTGTAATAACACCCAATAAAAATAATTGTGGGGTAAACTTTATCTTTCTCTTAAAAATCTGTTGAATGTTCCACCAGATCTTAATCCAAAAGGCTTTTATATTTCTATAAGTCCACCAAATTACCACATCTCCAACATTTGAGCTGTAAATTAGGATACATACAAGACAACTTTTTAGGATCCAGATGCCATCTATAAAACATTTTGTAAAAATTTTCTCTTAAATTGTCATTCTTAACGAGATAAAGGCTTTTAAGGTGCAAAGAAAAAACTTTTTATAGCTTACTGAGGACATCTTGTGGCGAAAATATTTATTGCAATTCTAATCTCTTTGGGTGTTTGGAGATGTTTTTGACCTTCAGGAATTAACAAGAAGAAAAGATAAAGGCTTGGAAACAGCTGTGGGTTGTGTTTGTGATTTAAAAATTGTGGAGGCGGATGTATATGGACTCTTAATAAATATAGTTTCCACAAAAAGATTAAAAGACTCTTTTACTATGGAAATAGAAGACTTTTACCCACAGCTTGACTATGAGCTGATATTGGAAAAAATATTGGAAATGATAGAGGAGACGAAGTCATGGAGAAAAACTAAAGGTTATTTTGCAGAACCACAAGCTGAGCCTCAAACTTTAAAAGCTCAACCTATAGGCCAAGAAGAAGCCTATATGCAACAGTATACACAATCTGAGATGGAAGAAGAAGTTACTGATCAATTGAATTCTGGACTGAACTATGAACTGATATTGGAAAAAATATTGGAAATGACAGAGGAGATGAAGTCATGGAGAAAAACTAAAAATCATCTTCTAGAATCACAAGCTGAGCCCCAAATTTTAAAAGACCAATCTACAGGCCAAGAGAAGCTTATATGCAACAGTGTACACAATTCGAGATGGAAGAACTCACTGATCAATTGAACTTTAGAAAAATCTTGGACCCAAAATCCCAGATTGAGACCTTAAATAACTACTCTATAAATCATCTAACCACTACAGAAGAGGATATCTCACAAGTCTATGTACAAATGGAGAACTTTGAAAATCAAAAAATGACTATAAGTGAAGTTCTCCCATTGCTAAAATTAACAGGAATTAACAGCCTGACTCGATCGATTGAAAGTTATGACAACCTGGATAATCAAACTGAAATTATAATATGGAATAAAATGGACTATATTGCTTGCATGATACTGGAAGAAGGGGAAGGAAATTTTGATCAGATCGTTTTGTTGATAAACATTAGTACTCAAATAGTGAGATTTGATGACATAGATGCAACATTATAGAAACCAGTTTGGTATAGAAAAAAAGCCAGAGTTAGATTTAAAAAAGTGATTTAAAATCTTAATTATTGGGTCAAAAAGGCTTTAGAGATTTGGACTGATTTGACAATCTAATTGAGTAAATGAAAGCAGTAAGATAATAATTGGTGTAATAATATGTTCGTCTTAGATACGATAGTTAATTTGGTTGAGAGTTAAATTTTACTTAACAGGTCGAAATGATTCTCTTTTTTGTTTTTTTACTCTGTTTATATAGAAAACTATTTTGTAATAGAAGAATTAGAGAGATCTATGATAAGAGAAGAAAGGGTATTAATTAATGATGTATTAAGAGATGGAATATATGTGAAAATAGTAGAATGTTATTCTTGAAATTATATGTGGGTTGTAGAAGGGATACCCAAAATTTTATTGATATGTTTGTTTAAGATTAATTGGAATATTTTAATTGAAATTAGTGGAGCTTAAAAGCAGGAGTGATTTTTGTAGATGTAATAATAGGGATGATTCTGTGGATTGATTGAATTTTAAGAAGAAATAGATTAAACTAAATTTGTTATATCGTGTGAGGAAATAGAGGGGGAAATTTTTTAAGGTATTAATTTTAGTTATATATATGACTTGTTTTGCTATGATTGATTACCCTTTCACCACGGTGTTTTCCTGAGCACTTTGATGTAAAAATTAAAAAAACCAATAAATGTGTATTAAAAAAAAGCAAAGATAAAATTCAAGATAGACACTTTTGATCAGCTACGATCAAAAGCATTTTGGAATAAAGGAGTTTTAACTTGTTATTAAATTGTAGCACTATCAGGACTGCATGGACTTCTGAATATTATGTATGTTGTCTTTTGCTCCTAAAAGAAATGAAAAATGTGAATGTTACAAACAGGGACCAGAGACAGAACATTGCTGAGATAGTAGAAGATCATATATGTATGTGCCAGATATAACAACTTACATGTAATGATGTTTTGGATAAAATTTTGAACTCATACACTTAATTAAATGGCAGAAAGATCTATATTGGGGGTATGGTGGGAGGAAGAACTTAACTTGTAACTAACTTAATCAAAACATTACAATAAAAGTCTGGGGGAAAAGAAAGAAATCAAAAGTGATGCCACTTATTGATGGCAGTCCTAGTTGCCATCATTAAGAGAAGACCACATGAGTCATTTAGCGAGGATCTCCAATGATTGTGACTTTTGATTTTCTACAAGTTTGCTTGTAGAAAGCCAGCAGGGAACATGATAAATCATAATCATATGATTGTGGCTTGCTATGACATTATGAGCCAACTACCAAGCACCTGAATCATGTGTTCAGGAAGATACTATGAGTGCTGAAACTCTGAGGACCAGTCAAAGAATTGGTAGAATTGTACTTGTTCAGTACAATCATACTGTTTGAACAGTCACTGAAAGATTGGTTGTTAAATGGGGATCTCTTTACTTCATAAATTCTATCAGTATCTTCTAAAATGAATTAAAGTTGGGGAGTTTTCTCCTTGTTCCAATGGCTTGTATCATAGCATGCATTGCTATTTGTGTGTGAAATGATTTGGTCAATGGCACCTTGACTGAGTTTTAAGTCTTTAGAAAAATGTTCATACATTAAAGCAGGCATGTCAAACTGCCGACGTCATGTGACGTCACGAGTTTGACATGCCGGCATTAAAGTGCCAGTCTGAAAGTCAGTGAGTATTGTAGGTGATCCTAGTAGTAGGATGCTTAGTAGAAATGTGATCTATTTGGAGAGAAATTGGTTATTGGCAGACTCAAAAAGTTAAATAACAGGAAATGAATATTAATATAACCTTACAGAAATCTCCAACTCTCTTTCTATGTGTCTGTTTGTATTCTCTTTACGTGAATGGCCTAATAGTTGTAAAACATGTCCCTTCTTCACTTATATTATTAATTTGAAACTCTCAGCCATGAATTCTATCCATCACTGATATGGTATTGCACTTCACCATGCTGGAACCACAGTAGAAATTGGATGTGCCTCCTATAAGATAGTGTAGATCTTCCCATAAGAAGTTATGGTGATCAGCTTCAGATTGTGCCAGTTGTCTGCTGTACACAAGCATGGGAGGAATTTCTGGATGCATTGTTGTTGAGGAATCACTGGCACCAATATAATGATCATGTGTTGTCTCTGTTTTCTTACAGGTGTTGGTGGCAATCTGGTGGCTGTCCAGGCTAGCCGCATCTCCACTTATCTCCATATGAGTGGGGTGCCTGGAGAGAATTCAGGAATAGCCCCCCGCAAGTGTCCAAGTCCCTGTAGCACCTTCTTCAGTTCAGGTAGCTTTATGAAACATGCTTTGTTTTGAATACTTCCCTTTGAATCATAATATTTTAAAATCCTCTTGCCCAAGCCCTGTCATGCTGCTTCATTGGGGGGAGGAGAAGGCGAGGAAGGAAGGAAGGAAGGAAGGAAGGAAGGAAGGAAGGAAGGAAGGAAGGAAGGAAGGAAGGAAGGAAGGAAGGAAGGAAGGAAGGAAGGAAGGAGCGAGCATATGCCGAGATATACAATCCCAGCAGGGACACTGAAAGTCTGAAGAGCATCCTGCTGCTCAACTAAAGCAAGCAGGCCTCAGTATTGGAAGCAATGATATGGAAAGATTCTGGAGAGAGAAGATTAATAAAACAGCTAAAACATCATTTCATACTGTGTGACAAAAAAAACCCATGGATAGAAAATACAAAAATATTGACAATATAGTGCAAGATGATGAGATCCTCAGGTTGGAGGCATTCAGCATGCTACTGAGGAAGTGTTTCAGACTTTTTTAAAGTAGTAATGGTGTTTATGTCATGGCTAGATTAAAGCCTTTGGGACATCTAGTTGCTGATGTTGTCATGTAAGAAATGAAGTTAGAATTACAGTGTGAACATGGAAAGTAAGAAACATGAACATGGGACAGTTCAACACAGTGAAAGATGAAATGAATCAACAACACTGGCATCTTAGGCATTAGCAAGTTGAGATGGATTGGAATTGAGCCCTTTAGTCAAAAGATCACACTGATTAGTATACAAGATATGAAAAACAAAAAAGGAACAATGTTGCTTTTATAGTTAGCAAGGACATAGCAAGAATAGTACTTGGCTACAATAGAATGCAGTGTCTTTAAACCGAATGTCTTTAAACCCAATTGAGTAAATCTAATTTAAATCCAATTAACTAAGATTAAGTGCTATAGGTGACCAGCATATTTATGAATGAAGAAGGAAGACTTGATGTTGTGGAATGTGTCTATGAAAGGGGAGGCAATACAATGGATTACACTAACACAGCAGTTCCTAGGAAGGAGGGAGCATATTCGGGGGGGCGGGGGAGAGAAGAAACAGCATAATCCAGAGCTGGATCATGGGAAGAGGAAGAGATTTAGGATAGCCATTCCCTAAAATCGCCCATTAGGTTATGATAGTATAGGTTTAGTTTGTTAAGAGTCGATCTCTATGGAGTCAGCAAATAAAGAACTGAACTTTGCCTGAATTGTTTTTCATTGTTCTTGTGCTAAGCTTGACACTTGATGCCGTTTTTTGGAAGCATAACATCCAATTCTTACAGAACTATTTGGATAATAGCGGCATAGGTTTTAGTTGTAGAGTTCAATGAAATATATTACAGTGTCATATTGCAATGGTAGGATATAATGTTCTTTTTAGTATACAATTCTGACAAATAGCCTCAACAACGAATGTACGTTTTCCAATTTACAGTTAAAACCACATAGAAAAGTTTCCTTTCATATGTAGTATATGTCAATTTAAATCTTTATCCATCTCGCCAGCAGATGTGAATTCCCGGTCTGCTCGGGTGCTTTTCCTTCTGGTTGTGCCAGGTCATTTGGTTTTCCTTTACACCATCAGCTCCATGCAGGGAGGTCACACTACCCTCACTCTGATATTTATAGTTTTCTACATGACCGCAGCACTTCTCCAGGTAAGAATTGTCATCAGTTGCCTGGCTTATCTTGTCAGTGGGGATAAAGACAAGATAAGTTATTTTGAAAAAGGGGTCTTTTTTAACATGATTTGGTTAAAACAAAAGTGGGTAACTTTTGACTCAGGAGCCAGATTTTCTCCCCCTGCCGTGTCAGAGCGGGCCCAAATGTTTCTGACATATTTTCACACACATGGGCAAAGGGGACTTTTAACAGTTCTACTCACTTGGGAGAGATATGGATAACTAGAAGGGCAATTTTTTCCCCAAAAAATTATATTTATACATTTTCCTGGGTTCATGATAGCATCCTTCTCAGACTCTTTTTTTTTTTTAATTTTATTTAGGGTTTCAAGAAATTCAGATTTCACTGTTTAGTTCTTTGGCAACATAGTTTGTATTGCAGCCATTATACTGCAGAGTAAAAAAGAGAATTTATGTAGTAGTATAGTTATAGCATTGAAGTCCACGTTCACCTATGAAACTCACTGAATTAATTTGGACCAGATGCTGTTCTTCAGCAACTGCATATGTGTACCTTGGGTACACCTTGTGTACTGTTAAGGGAAGAAGTACTGTTTGCAACATCTTAAGCTCTTAAGAGGCAAGATTTATACCTTAACTAAAACACATACAGACATAAAATAGCAAAACTTGCTTGGAATAAATTAAGATAATTTGTATTGCATATGAGAACCAGTTTGGGCTAGTGGCTAAAAAGGCTAGAAAGTGGAAGCGTGTGAGTGCAAGTCCAACCTTAGCCATGAAAGCCAGCTGGGTGACTTAGGGCCCGTCACTCAGTCTCAGATCAACCCACCTCACAGAATAGTAGTTATGGGGAAAACAGAAGAAAAGTGTGTTGGGTATGTTCGCTAGCTTGAGTTATTTGCAAACAAACTAAAGAAAGTTGAATTGCCAGAAAAGAGCTAAAGTATATTAGTACAATCTGAAGTTGTGTGGCTTAAGCTTAGAAGTGCCATGCAATAAAACTACAATCACATTTTAAAGGAGTAATTTATTCAGAGGTGCTAATATTCCTTATATAAGATAACTGCATATCTCATGTGATACAATACTAGCTTTGAAGTTGAATATATGTGAGAGATTAGAAGTAGAGCTGTATACTTCTCTGAACTGAAAGTATTTTCCCCTTTTGTATTCAAGTTTCCATAGCCATGTGGTAGTGAGAATTAGATTGCCTGCAGGGAGAAAGGGATGTGAAGCACGCAGTGCAATCTTACATAAATTGCTTCTCTCTTTGATCATGCCTTCCTCTGTCTACCTGATAGTAAACTGCCACATCAGATAGAATAGATAATGCGCAATGGGTGCTGGGAAGGCCAGTTGCTTGGAACTGTCCCAGTAGGATCTTGGCTTTGCATGATTCTTCATCAACATTGGGAGGACAGGGCTTTTATCCCAGGATCAAAACAGAGATATGGCTAATAAATACAGCTCATCCTGGGACTCTGTTCTGTTTGCATTTGAAAAATTGGAACAATGAGCTGTAGCCTGTTCCGGGGACACAATATAATTTTAGGGCACTACTGTTGATTTCTGTATCAATTGCCTGTAAGGATTAGGACTTTAAGAGTGTAATAGCAACTTTTAGAAAGTGTCTTCCGAAGTGCAATAGCAAGTTGAATACAACTATTGCCATCTCACAGCATGTATCTATTTATAGAATGTTTATTCTTCCAAAAAATATTTCTCCTCAAGGTATTAGGTACAATAGGTGAAAAAATATTAGCTCCATCCTGCAGGCTTACAACCACAAAACATGATGCAAAAAGAAAAAAAATAAGAGGAAAAATTAAAACAATTTATCTCTGTGATAAAATAATAATAAAAAAAGAAATACAAGAAATACAGACATCTTTGTCATCTAGGAGGTAACATCTGAAGTTGGGCTTTCCTTCAAAGAGCAGATCTCTCTGTCTACAATTTCATCTACTGTACAATACTCTTTATTGTAGCATTATATATCAATGAATAGCAGTAAGAAGTTATGTAAAATAACTCAAAATATCTCTCTCGAAGTTTATCAATGATACAAGCATTGGAGAGGGGGACTTAAGGCACCCAATTTGAAATTATATTATGATGCAGCCGCCCTAACTTGGTTAAGTGATTGGCTTAATTTAACAAATATGGATATTCTTTTTTTGGAAGGTTGGGATTTAATATATGGTTGGCATGCATATTTAATTTTTAATAAGAAAGTTGATCGGACTTTTAAATCACATATTTTGAGGAATGCCTTACTTCGTGTTTGGAAGAAGTATTATTATAGATTAAATTATAAAATACCTATCTGGGGGATTCCCAGACATGCAATTGAGGGAACCTCTAAGGGGACAAATTTTGATAAAATTTCATATAAAGAATTGTTAATTTGTTCTGGTTCGAATTGGCATTTGAAATCCCTAGATGTATTAAGGCAGCAAAATATTCTACAGTCATGGTTTCAATATTTACAAATAATGGATAGATGGACTGTAGACAAGAAAGAGGGAATAACACTAGAAGATAGACAATTGGTTATTCAGATTAAAAACCAAGGTCCGGCTCATATAAAAAGAATATATAATGTTTTATTAGAGTTAGATTCGGAAACAGAATTGGTTAAAGATTGTATGATTAAATGGGCTCAGAATATACAGGAGCCGATCTCATTGGATTTATGGGAGATAATTTGGATAAAGAAATGTTAAATTTACACAAGCTCAAAATTTGAGAGAAAATTTTTATAAAATGTTTTATAGATGGCATTTAGATCCTAAAAAATTATCTTGTATGTATTCCAACATACAGCCCAAATGTTGGAGATGTGGCAATAATGATGCGACATACTTTCATATTTGGTGGAATTGTAAAAAAGTAAAGGCTTTTTGGATTATGATTTGGTGGAACATTCAAAAGATTTTTAGAAAGAAGATAAAGTTTACTCCTCAACTATTTTTACTTGGTATTTTTGTTGACTTAAATGAAAAAGAAACTACTTTGATGTTGAATTTATTAACTGCAGCAAGGTTACTAGTAGGTCTATATTGGAAGAAAGATTCTTTGCCTACTTTAGAAGAATGGATATTTAAAGTATCTAGTTTTGCAGAAATGGCAAAAATTTCTGCTTATTTAAAGGATCATACACAAGAAAGATATATTACTGTATGGGGAAGGTGGATAGATTATATTCAGAAAAAATATGGAATTAAAAAGTTTTATTTATTTTATGAATGAATATCAAATATTATAGAGAATTGTTTTATAAGTTATGGAGTTAAAGGTTAATTATGATATTTTTTTTTCTTTCTCTTTTTTTTTCTTTTTTTTTAATTATTATAATTTTCTTTTTCTTTTTTTTTCTTAACCCTGTATTCTGCTCTGGGAAGTGAAGGGAGGGGGGGTGGGGGTGGGAGGGAGGGTAAGGGGGGGGTTCTCTATTTTAAAATTTTATTGTATTTTTATAAATGATTGTATGTTTTAAAAAAAATAAAAATTTTCAATAAAAAAAAAATGATACAAGCATTGGATGCATTTTTATAAATCAGCAGCCATGAGTCCAGAAGGGACCCCCAGATCACACACCCATCTAGCATGGAAAATCCCCAGAATCAAGCGGTGCAAAAACCTTTTGTAGTGTATGATACAATTATTTTTTTAAAAATATGACTGATAAAAACAAGTTAAACCAGTACGATTAAAAGTTTTGAAAAAAATATGCATTTCTTCCTAAAATATAGTAAAGTAAGAAATGCATAGTACAGTATAAACTATATACTATTATTCTAGTATAGTAATTATTTATTTCATAATGTTGCCCTTCACCAGAGAAGACAGAAGTAATCATTAATGGCATCCATTATGCATTGAGGGATCTACAAGATGTTTTCCCACTGTTGAAGTAACGTAGAGGAGTATAGGAAGTAGTCTTTACATCTGCCTTGGTGTTTTGACCTAGTCATTGCTAATATGACCATTACGCTTGTGCCTTTCAGGTTCTCATTCTTCTTTACATTGCTGACTGGATGGTTCATTGGATGTGGGGCCGAGGTCTGGACCCGGACAACTTTTCTATACCTTATTTGACAGCACTGGGTGACTTGCTTGGAACAGGTCTCCTGGCACTCAGCTTCCACATCCTCTGGCTAATTGGGGATCGGGATACTGATGTTGGAGACTAACAGCACTCTTCCTCAGCTTCTTCAGTCCTCAGTTCATCTCCTTCAGTCACATTCCCCTGCCCCCACAAAGTCGTTCTTTGGGACTTTAACTTTGATACTAGATTCTCATTATTTTCAATGGGAATTTTATGTGGTTTATATTTCAAGCCAAGTGTGTACAGGAGAATTAGTTTTAAGAAGGACAAAAGAAGAAGAAAATGTATAAAGACAATCACCAAGTGCAATTTCAAAATGGTTAACTATTTATATATAATAGAGAAAATAGAGAAAAATGGAACAAAATTTTTTAAAAACATCCACCTTTCACCATCTGTACCCACTTAAGGCATAAGTGAGTGTTTTTCCAGCTTGGCAACTTCTGGACTTCAGTTCCCAGAATTCTCCAGCCAATATGCTAGCCAGAGAATTCTGGGAGTTAAAGTCCACACATCTTAAAATTATCAAGTTTGAAAAACACCACACTAGATATACAAGGCTATCACTTGTGTGTAATATATGTGTATGTGAATAGTTAAGATGCAGCTGGTAACTGGTGTTTTTAAACTAGGCTCATATTTTTCATCAGTTACTACAGCTGGTACCAAGTAGCAACAAACAGATCAAGTGTTTTGGACACACACATACCCCTCCTTGCTTATCCTTGATAGTATAATAAATCTAACTGACCAAAAGACAGGTAACAGATCAAGAGTTTTGGACACACACATACCCCTCCTTGCTTATCATTGATAGTATAATAAATCTAACTGACCAAAAGACAGGTCTTTATGGATCTGAAAACTTTCAATATATGGGATTGAGACACTTAATGTTTTGATGCAAAATCCTGATATTACAATTGAAGGCAACTATAGGTGTTTAGCACTTCTTCAAATCTACAGAATAAAATTAGTTTGTGGAATGTTTTCCAGAGTAGATCTGATGCATTGTAACATCAAGATGGAGTTGGTTCATTTCAAAAGCCTCAGATGAAATATAATTAGAAATGAAAGCTCCTTACACACATATATTTCATAGTCTTTATCTGAAGTTTAGACTTGTATACAAACATTATCTTTGTATAGTATAGTTATAAAAACTGGCAGGTACTATCTACATGGTAGCGAGATCCAAGATTTTCAACATAGGTTCTGTCTTCTAGGTCAAATGTCAGAACATCTGTAATATTGCAACAAATAGATAAATGCTATTATGAATCTGAAGAAATGGCATTTATTTTATCATTTTTTCATGAAAAATGAGACATTGAGTGTCTTAGAAGTGTAAAAACCAGATTGAAATCAGATCATTTGGATGTTTTGGATAGCAATTGAATCTGTGGAAGCAACAAAATATCAGGTTCTGTAAGTAGGGAGTTTTTGTATGAAATACACTCTTCTTACTATAGAGGTATTTAGAATTTATCTTCTCACTATGTTGCTTGTATAAATAGAGTTTGAGCATAAGTAACTCAAAATATTTAAATAGGGAATGCCAAATTAGTTGCATAAAACAAAATGTGAAAGGGGGATCTTTCATTTTATTCAAGAATGGAAATTAAGATTCTGTGCTATCCCATAGACAGTGGAGGCCTATTTTGCTGAATGTTATTTGTTACTGAACTCAACAATATAACCAAAATTGCTGGGACACCTACCTCTTTTGTATATGACTCACTACTCATATACATTTCCTCAACGCCGAACTCCATTAAAGATTGTTTGGCTTTTCTATAATCAAAAGATTGTTCTTGTTCTCTTGTTTTGGCTTTTCTATAATCAAAAGATTGTTTTTGAATGCTTGATTTAATTACCAATAAAGCTGAAGTAAGGAGGGATGGACCAGTGTTGACCTTTGAAAATGCTGTGTCCTAGCTTTGATTTACTATCTTCAAAATGCATTGGGTTACCACATATGGATTGCAGAAATCCAGAACCACCAGATGGCAACAAAATTTAAACATTTTAGCATTTTTTTCCCCTGTTTTCTTGTGGTTGCCTGGGAGGTTGCAATCCTAAACTTGCTCAAGTAATGAAACTGAATGCTTGTGACTTTCAGAAAAGTGTTGAGTTTGTTTTGCTGGAAACAAGCTGTTATCTGGAATGTAACAGCAGCTTTCCTGCAAGTTTTCCTTAAAAACAATGTGGTTGCTATTTACCAAAATTAAAATTCGGACTGGAAGTGAATATATTGTGTTCAATATATTCCACAGGAGCTTATGTAGACTGCAACTATTTTTAGGATAATCCTGTGACCTACTTTATTTTACAACCTGGGTGCTGCCATAATCATATTTTAATATGTCATCAGGGGAGACTTCAAATTCATGTTGCAATTGTTTGTGAGTTAATCCTTCTGTGTGCATGATGCCTTTAGTAATTTGGAAGTAATGGATATGGCTGAAGATGTTCTTGCCTGCCCTCTGTGAATACAAGTATTTATATGGTGAGGTTTCTTCAGATTTCAGTAGATGCCAATGCTTAGTTTCTTTTTAAGAAATGGATTTTTCCCAAGTAAGTTACTAATTACTTTCAAAAAAAAGTCTACATTAAGCATTGTCCTAAGCTCTTTAAAGAACTTTCATCTGCCTTATCTAAATGTCCAGTTCGATGCATTTATTTTAATCTAACAGTCTAAGCATTTTTCTTATATATGTATATAATACCACATAAGCATTTTTTTCATTGTGTTTATCTGATTAATATCTATGTCACTAAATCTCATTAATGGATATATATCTCCTAGTTAAATTTAGTCTTTCATCCAGGAGCTGAAATGTTTGTGCTGCTTGGGTGAGATCCCTGGATTTTATTGCCTTGAAAGTGGTAAGGTGGGAAGCAAAGTGCAAGTATATGAACAGAATGATGTAAAAAAAATAATTTTATACTCACAAGTTGCACTCAAATGCATGTATATTTAAACTTGGCTGCAAATGAAAATTAAGCTTTTGGTTTATACCTTTATTCAACAAAGAAAACAAATTCCTTATTTATAGTTGCTGTAATTGAATTGACAAATGCCAATTTAACTGATAAATTATATTTGGTAAAATAAATATTTACATTTATTTATATGGTTTTTGGTCCTTCATTTTTATCAACAATTGGTAGCTGACATTTTAGCTGATGTTTGTATTAATAAGCAAAAAAAGACTACGCCACATTGGTTTCCTTCAGTTTTATTCATTGGCTCCTTTGTCTTTTATTTCCAAGCTATGTGCTCATTTTAGGGATTCTTTAAAGAAGGAGACACATGTGAGCATTATTTAACACCTAAGAAAAATACACTTTATCTAAATTAACTTACATAGCTTAGATTATGTCCCTCTGCTCAGGGTGTGATTATGTACATGAAGTCAGTGTCAGCTCTTAAAAACCACATTCATAGATCTGTCCAACCAGGTCTCCAAATTCACCTTGCTGCTGATCACTCTCTTCTCTTTCCACTTTTCCTAGCATTATGGACTTTTCAAGAGAATTGGGTCTTCACATAATGAGTCCAAAATGTAATACTTAAGAGTTTGGTCATTTGTGTCTCAACTCTGGATTGATTTGTTCTACAGTCCATTTGTTTGTTTTCTTAGCTATCCATGTTATTCTCAGGAGTCTTCTTCAATACTAAAGTTCAGAAGTATCAATATTCTTTTTAGTCTGCTTATTCAAGGCCCAATTTTTGGACCTGTCACAGTGATGGCAGTAGCAGAGGTGGGCAGGCTTTAATGAATGGTTCTCGGTATCCAGGAAATTCTTTGATTAATGTTCCTAGTAGGTTAAGAACAAACGGTTGTTTTATTATTACTACTGTTCTTTATCATTTTGATTTCATCAACTCCCTTCGTTGGTTTTCCAGAAACTCTAAAAACCTAGTAGTTTTGGAAGCTTTTTTCTATATATTTGTTTTTTCCTCCTTTGCTTTTGCTGTTGTGTCTAAGTTTTTAGAGGACCAGCACAGTTATGGCCAGTTATAATTTGTTGGATTAAGCTAACCATGGATAATTTTGCTTATATACACTGTAAGCTGATAGTTGTTTTGATTGTGGCAAGGTAGAAGTATGATAATTACGGAAAAAAATTAAATGTACATCCCCCTTTGATCAGGCTGTAATCATTGTAACCTAAATAAAAGAGGAAAATACAAACAATAGTATCAATGTGATGTGTTGTGAGAAAAGAAGGTTTATCAAAAAACAGTCAACATGGCTGTGAATGAAAGTAGGATTAATGCAAAATGAGAGTTGATGTCAGGAGAAGTTTTTAAAAAATATGCCAGTCAATGGGGTACTTAAGGGGGGAAAGATGAATAAGGACGAAGCAGTACATGGATGGGGTGACAACAAGAAAACTGTAGATTGCCAAGATAGAAAGGATATAGGTTGCCAGCTTAGAAAGATACCCAGAGTATAATTAATAATGTTGATATAAAATAGGGTTACTGGACATTGGGCAACAGGGATATGACTTCCTTTTTGTCCTGGTATGCAGGCATAGCCTTAAAATGAAACATTATCCATCTTTTTGTGTCTCTCTTCCTGAGAAGCTTTTTTCTGAGGTGCTTCCCTAATAACTTCTAACTGCAAATTAACAAACTCCACTCTTCATTAGTTGATTAGTATCCTGCAGCCAGTTTGCCCTGTTTGAAATCCAGCAATTGACCTTAATCAGTTACACCTGAAGGCTTTTTTTTGCCTCTTAATCTGACATAGCACATTCCTGCCCTTGCAAAACCAAAAGTGTTACAGGAGAAAATATTTTTATGTGTAGGCCAAAGTACATTTTTGAGTTTTTCATTGCAAATTTTGTGATAGGTGTCAAGAAAACAGTTAATGTGCCCTCTCATTCTCTTCCCTAGCCCCCATTTTTCCTCCTTTTCAATTGTCTGGATTCTCCTTTGATGTTCATTTATTTAGTAACCATAATGTAAAACAATATTGGATTTCTTATTTTGTGTCTTTAATTTCACATGCCATTTCTCTCTGTAGAACGTTGCAGACCCGAAAGGGAATTAGAGGTTGCCTATAAACCTTAGGCACATATGTATTTTATATGCTCCCCCTTTTTTCAAGGGGTGACATGGAAAATCAGCGTTTTCCCATTTAAATCCATTTTCAGTTCGCTTTTCTTACACCCATATTTATCCATTTCATACGACAAGAAAAGCACAGAGAGCAATTAATCTTTGAAAAACGCTGGAGGGCACGATTTTAAACTACTTCGACTTAACACCAAACACTTGCTACAGCGCCCGCCGGCGTAGATTAAAGTACTATAACCAAGTAATCAAGACTCACTCCCCAAATGCATGTCGGGTAATGTAGTTTGGGGCTTTAAAGGGGCAGAGCTGCCTCCAGGTTCTCTCACATGACAGAAAGGCGAATGCGGAAAAGAATTGGCGAACAAAGTCGGCAGCCGTGCGAGAGAAGGAAGTGCGCGCGGAACTCCTCTGTAAGTTTTGCATGCCTACCCGGTAAAAGTGCTTTGGTGCTTCATCTGGTACGGTTGTGTCGCTTTTAGTGCTTCATCATTTAGTGCTTGTTTCTTTCTTAGAAAGGAAGGTAGGGCGGACGAGCCTTTCGCTTGAATTCCTATTGCAGCACCGCCAATATTCATATGACTGAAACAACGCTTCTGGGAGTGGTATATTTGGTTTCCTTGCCCTTAAATTAAGGGTGTGCTTGCTCGGAAAAAGGTATCTTTGCAGCCGGAAAGACAAGTGAGTTCCCTGTATTAACAGAAACCACGATTGAACGTACGCGTGTTTTTTTTTTCCCTCTGTAAATAATTGTACTTTGGTTTTGTTTTTTTCCTTCACGTGGTTGACCCCTCAGGAAAGGGAAGAAGAGGCAGCACCCGCTTCTTTTAATTGGGTTTGGTGTCCAGTCATGGTGGGCCATCATGACCATATGTTCAAAGTCTTAATTATTGGTGATGCCACAGTTGGGAAGACATCGTTAGTTCAGCGATATGCTAATGATAGTTTCAACAAGCACTACAAGTCTACGGTAGGAGGTGAGTCTTCTGTATTTTTCTCAGGACTCCGCAAGAAAATTACAGTAACACATAAAAAATATCTGGAGGGGAGGCAGTGGCAGGGATGGGCTTTAATGTACAGTGTTGTTCTTGTGTACTAAATTCTTCCCCAATTGCAAAGATTTATCTGCCGTAAAGACTTGCATTGAAACTTTTCTGCAAGAGAAGTTACCCCTGCAGATACTACCTTATAATTCCTGTTTATCTGTTTGTACCAGAATACTTAGTTCCTCTTTGTTGCGGAATTTCCATCCTTGATATGAAACCCTACTTTTCCTCACTTTGGCAATTACAATGTTGCTAAAGTATTATAGTGAAATGTGACCACGCTTACTCATAGTTTGTGGTCGGTTGTTAAATAATTAGTCTGCTTCATAAGCTCTGATTGTGCAATGTTTTATTGCTGTAAAAAAGATAAACTAAATCAAACATAGTTTTCCATGTTAAGATGGGCTATCTGCTCTGTTCTTCTAATTTCATTTCTTTTCTGATTAACCTGAATTACATGTTTTCTTAAAATCTATAATTCAGAGCAATCTATTACATCTAAAGAATCTCAGTATATGATCTCAAAATGTACTGTTGTCAGTTCCATTCAATCCAGCATAAATCATAAATCCCATAAATGAACAGGTTGCACACTTTTTAAATATCCACTGATATACATATATTTTTGTATTAAAATAGTCTCTTTTTCAAGACTACTTTTAGATAAATTATTCTTTTTTTACAGGTAATGAAAATAAGTAAAAACTCTACATCATTAATGCTAAATATGTATATAGGACATCTAAATGTGGGTGCACATATTGAATGAAACAAGGCATTAATTATTTTTAAAATTCATTATTTAGGCATCATCAGTATCCAGTGATTTATGTGTAATCTTTACTGCCAAGAATATGTGATAATTTATACCAAAGATGCATAATTTGGAGCTAGTTCTGAGATTTCTGAAAGTGACTATCAAATTAGAATTTTTAATGTGATTGAGTGTTTTGTTTTTTTTAATGTAGATGCAAATGAAATCAAATTTAGTTTCTGACCAGATTCGTGTGCTGGTCAGTAACGCACATGAGTGTATTCCTGGGAGGCTGTAACTCAAAACGCAAAGTGAAATCTTTGCCCTGAAGACAGTTTTTAACACCCGCCCCAGACCTATATCAATGGTGTAATCATAGCTGCTGACCAGCTTTTCTGTAGTTACAGCACAAGGCTAGAGAAGTGAGTTCTGGCCTGCCTAAGGCACAAAGCCAGCTGTGTGACATTGGGCTAGTCATTGCTCTGAGCAGTGAAGAAACCAAGCCACTTCTGAAATCTTGCCAATAAAATTGCAGGGACAATAAATACATCCCCACAATACACCAATACATCCCATACTTGGATATGTATCATACATTCTACAATCAGTTTCTTCTGAGATATTCTGGACTGGCCAGACAATCACCAGGAATCTACATTGACTTGAAGGCTAGCTAAATACATACAGTGCATATATACACTTACATTCTGGGTTCTCTGTCTCCATCCAACCCATTTTATTTATAATTCTTTGTCTTTGGTCCAGATTAGAATAGAGCTGGAAGGGACCTTGGAGGTCTTCTAGTTCAGCCCCCTGCTCAAGCAGGGGAATCTATACCATCTCAGAAAAGTGACTGTCTAGCATCTTCTTAAAAATCTCCAGTGATGGAGCACCCACGATTTCTGGAGGCAAGCTATTCCACTGGTTAATTGTCCTCACTGTCAGGAAGTTTCTCCTTAATTCTAGGTTGCTTCTCTTTTTGATCAGTTTTCAACCATTACTTTTTAAATCTCCCAAATTCCTTTGTTGAAACTGTTGTTTGTGCCACAGAATTGCTGTACAAGAGGAATTTCAGAGATCAGTAAAAAAGAGCACCACTGAAGACATGATAACGGGCCCAGTTTCATTCCTGAAATAGATACTAATCAATTAAAATGGAGGTGCTTTGCAGATCGTAGGAATTTTTTGTTCTCAGACTGCCTTGGACTTGAAACATTGGATTTAAATAATAGTCATTGCTCAGTTTAGGTGTTGCTTCCCTTTCATTATGGGGGAAAATGCAGGATGTTAGTGGGCATCCTAAAAGTGTATTTCCTGCAGTGAAATATGTTTGTTTTAATCTGTGAAAGGGAAAAGATCACAGAAATTTATGACTCAGGTAGAGTTGGCTTTGTAATTGGCTTTGAGAACATGTAGGTGCTCTTGCAAAATGGTGAATGATCCCCTCACAAAATAGTTGCTATGAAATCTTCTGAGTTCCAGTGCATTGATTGATTTAGTAAATTTGTGGGCTGCACATCTCATACAGGACTCTGGACAGTATAGAGTTAAAATTGAATAAAGCGAGTAAAAATAAAGTTTTTTTTAAAAAAAATGCCAGAATACTATGCCTACACTATTTTGTTAATATAACCTTAAAAGTAGAATTAGTTAATTTGAGAGTGCTTCCTGACTGAACTATCTTGCAAGGCTGACATAAATCTTGCAAGACAGAAAATATTTCTCACCTCTTTTTTTAGTCTCTGGAAAACTAGAGAGGATCCCTTCCCATGCTTTCCCCCCACCTGCACACAGAGCTGCTTCTTATCAGCCCGTTACCTATGGTACAGGTCTTCATCCGTCTCCCAAGATCATTCCCACAGATGACTACATACAGATAGGGATAGTAAAGAGGTGTGATCCAGGTTAAAACAGTTCTTTACATTTATATTATGATCAGCTATTTCTTATCAAAGAAGTTAACTGTACCCCTCACATACGCATGTGATAGAGCCCATCTCCTGGCTGCGTTAACGATTGGATTGTGCTATGTGTTTTATTTTTATTTGTTTTTATATTGTTTATTTTATGTGTCTTATTTATTTTATTGCAACCCACTGTCATGTTATGTGGGAATGATCTTGGGAGATTGGGCAAAGAAACACAACAAAGGAAATGGCCTGATAAAAGGCAGCTGAGCCTTCAGAAGGAATGTGAGTGGGGCAAGAGGCTTAGAAGAGACCCTCCTAATTTCTTGGATTGTAAAGGAGACAGAGGTGTACAGTACTTTCAGACTTGCAAGTTTCTTTAATGAAGCTTTATAGCAAACTAGAATTAGCTCATCTGTGTGGTCTTAACTTGCAAGGCTGGCAGCTACCTACAGCCACACAAAAGTGAGGTGAGTATTTATATAAATCAAACACATAAATAATGTATATAAACGTTTAGCACACTTTGGGGGGAAAAGTATAGATTTTCTCCAGGAACATTCAGACGGCTTGTTCAATCCTTCCTTCCTACTTACTCATCTGCCCTTCCTTACCTAATTGGAGGTAGCATACTTCTGAATAAAATTGTGGTTCTGTAGTAGAATATATCTAAAATTTACTTGTCTTATATGATGATAGTCATGACAGTTGACATAATGAGTCACAGCTGCTCATCTAAGTTTTTCTGGAAAAATTCAAGTGTTAACATTTAAGTAGAAGACTTATTTAATCACTCATAGAAACAATGGTGCTTCAAGCAGATAAGGTTGCGTTGGTACACTTATTGTGTACTAATGGAGGAAGAATGTTGCAAGAAGTTGTCTTGAGAAACATGCAGCTTTTATCTCAAAATAAATAACAAATATGTGCTGCTGCCAAAAATTGGGGTCATTTTGAAATTTATTCCATTTAAGATCAGTGCTGGTAGAGATCATAATGCATATGACATTCAAATTGTTTCTATATGGTGTGCACATCCCTTCAAGTTAAAATTGCTTAATATACTTCATCAATTTTGAGAATCTAATGGCTGTCCTGCCTGCAGTGAACAGTGCCCATGCTGTTTAAAGGAAATACAGTTGGGGCTGTTTGTTTTCACTGTTCTTCAGTGTAATTTACAAAAGTTTTCCCCATGAAGTCGGAAGTGCTGTGGCTCATGCAATAGACAACGTATTTTATAGTACCAGTATCTGTACACACTGGGTAATCGGCATTGATGCGAAGTGTGAAAGAAAGTACTGTAAGCAGTAAGTGGCATGCTTTTTCCTCTCTCATTTTCTGTGTTTGCTTTTAGTGGATTTTGCTCTGAAGGTGGTGCAATGGTCAGAGTCTGAGACAGTGAGGTTACAGCTATGGGACATTGCTGGTGAGTTTCAAAAAGTTACCTGCCCTTTTTTTTTTTTTTTTTGGCTTCTCAGCCTTTTTTTAGAGTAGTAGTACTTACCTTATTTGTTCAGCTCTCTTAAACAACTTAACAATTAAGCTATACTATAAGGCAGGGCTTTTCAACCCGTGGTAGCGAGTTGGCACCTGGCAGGTGGTACGCATACGACAGTTTGAAAAGCACTGTAAAAAAAAAAGTGTAAAAAAAAGTGTAAAAGTAGATGAGCTGAAGTGGCGGCAGCGCCAGAGAGGCCTGAAGGGGGAGAGTCAACTGGAGCTGCTGTGTTGCTGGGACTCTGCTGAAAGCTCAGGATTGATGCACGCGGCAGCTGCACACAGTCTTTGGGCACAGATTCAGGTGGAGCTGCAATATTGCTAGGGCTCTGCTGAGAGCTCACGATCAGTGTGTGCCGCTCCAGCTGATCGGCGCTTCCAGCGCACCAGGAAGAGAAATGGAGGAGGAGGAGGGAGAGAGAAGAGAGGCTATAAAAGAAGGAGGAGGGGGGGAGAGAAGAGAGGATATAAAAGAAGGAGTTAAACCAGGACTTCCCCCCCTTTTTTTTTACGGTTTGTAACATATTATTACATTATAGAATAAAATACAGAAATACAAAAGCAAAGAGTAGTACACAGTGGGGAGGAAAAAGGGAATGAAAAATGAGGGGGAGAAGGGAAAAAGAAAAAAGGCATTGACTTCCAACTTTTTCTGTTGCAATAGAATGAAGCATTAACATTGAACCCCAACTTTTTCCTTATTCATAATAGTATAATCATTTCTATAACAACAAATCAATCTAATCCAGTGGTTCTCAACCTATGGGTCGGGACCCCATTTGGGGTCGAATGACCATTTCACGGGGGTCGCCAAACAAGGTTGTCCACCATTTTTCCCCCTTTGGCCACGCCCCTGACACCCGGTGATGTATAAGTGGTTGGGGGTCACCACAACATGGGGAACTGTATTATGGGGTCGCGGCATTAAAAAGGTTGAGAACCACTGATCTAATCAGTAAAACCCAAAATTCCCTCAAGTTTTTGACACCTTGCTAAGCATTGGCGGTACTTGGGTATTGTCATGTCCTAAAAGTGATACAATCTGTGAAAAGGTTGAAAAGCCCTGCTCTTGGGGGGAGGGACTCAAATCACATAATATTCCACTTAAATGTTTATGTCTTGTATCTCTTTTATGGTCTCAGCAGGTGGCAGTGCCTGACCAATTTTGACTGCTATGGAAGCTAAGTAGGCTTAGGTCTGGTTAACATTTGGGTAGACCTTAGTCTAGCTTGGGAGATCAAATCCTCCATCCCACCGCCCAAAAAACATCTTGAAAGAAAGCAGTGACAAACCATATCTATTGTTAATGCCACAAAAGTTTCATGGATGCATAGGAGTCAAACTCAGATTGAAAGTATTTACATAGCTTTGCCTCTGTAATATAGTTTGCATAATGCAGTGTCAGTTGAGGGGTAATATTTCTTGGAACACCATGAAAAAGCTTGAGAAATTTCTGCAGGTTGATGGATATTAAAGATCTGTTAAGCATTAGAAACCCTTCACATAACTTGAATTGCTTGTTATTTAAAGTTTGTCATGTTGTGGTTTATTTATTTATTTATGTATGAGACTTACATACCGCAACAAATAGCCTGCTTTTCAACTGAAGCTTGAAGGTTTTATGTCTTTAAATGTCAGGTTTTGCTCTCTAAGGGGCAGATGACATTCAAACCATGGTGACTGTTTGTAAAGTATGTGTTTAGATTTCTTAGTAAAGAAATAAGCAATTTTTAATATTCTGAGGCAGAAGGCAAAATGCTCAGACCTCCATGCTGCAGGAAAAGAGAGAGAGAGAGAGAGAGAGAGAGAGAGCGCTTTCTCAATGATGTTACCTTTATATATATGTAAACCTTTTAACTTTTTGCAGACTACTCAAATTCACTTTTATCTTCCTTTAAGCCAAGGCAGCTTTCAGGCCTATCTTAGTACAAGATCCTTATAATAAATAGCCTTTGTTCTTTCATTTTCATTTGGCACACTTTGAGAGATGTGCAAAGAAGCAGGGTGTTGTGTGTGCACATATGTGCCTTTGAATCAGTCTTGATTCCTGGTGACTACCCAGGCAAGTCCCCTGCAGTATTCTTGGCAAGGTTTTAAGAATGGTTTGCCATTGCCTCCATCCTTGGGCTGAGAGAGAGTGACTGGTTCAGGGTTACCAGTTGGATTTATGGTCTTCTAGTTTCTAGCCTGATACCTTAACCACTATACCAAATTGGGTCTCAAGAAGCAGGAACAATACTGAAAAGTAGTAATTGGCATGAAGAGCAGAGTCAATTTTTATTTCATTTTATTTTCATATGGAATTACTTAAAGTTAAATGTGTGTCAACTTTGCAGTAGGCAAAGTCAAGAAATGATAGGGATTGCAGGAATATTCTTTACACATAGTCCTCGGCTTACCTTGACTGTTAATTTAACAATGGCTCGAAGTTATGATGGCCTCAGCGAAAGTGACTGATAAGCCTTCCTCAAAGTTACAACTCTTGCATCACCTCCACAATCACTTGGTTGTAATTCAGCTCACATTTACAAAGGTTGGAGCGCTTTGCGTACAGGTTGCTGTGATTTCTGACTTTCCCAGCCAGCTTCTGACAAGCAGTCAATTGGGGAAGCCTGCTTCGCTTAACAAGTGCTTAATGACCACAATAAAAATAGTCATAAAATCAGGTCCAATCAGGTGATGGATGACTCAATGACGGAATCACTTAGCAACTAAGTGATCTGGATTGTGGTTGTAAGCTGAGCACTCCCTGTATTGTTTGAACAACAAGATCTGCCTTTCTCTACCATTGCCCTTGTCCTATAGAACACTTCCCCCCAAGGTGAGGTGAGCCCCCGCTCTCTTGGCCTTCTATAAATGTGTAAAAACATGGTTCTGCACCATATTATATGTATATTTATTCTATAGATAGCTATAATTTCCTCCTTTTTCTTATATTAAAAATGACCATCAAGGAAATGGCTTTTGAGCCTAGAGCAAGTGGAAGCAGCTAGACTAGAACACTGTGGCTGTTTCAAAAAGGTAAGTATACTTAGATAGGAGACCATCAGAAAATTTCAGAGGTATAGGTAAATTGCAAAGATGAAAAAAAAAACATTTTGGAAGAAGGCAAAAGCAAGCCACTTCTGCACAATTTCATGGTTACACACATGTAGTTGTCAAGTGTCAAGCTTGATTTGAGAGTCTCTTCCTTTTGACAAGTTTTTTAGGTCTGTGAGAAGCATGCTCAAGGATTCTACTGGCCATCTGAAGATCAAACTAGGCATCTCTGCTTGGTGATCCAATGAGACAGACATATACTTAACATCAAAGTGCATCTTGAAGCAAATGCTTAGTCTAGGCATTGCTTTTCATTTTAGATTTTGGGAAAGAAAATTTGAAAGTCAACGCCCTTGCCCAATAATGTGAAATCACAACCTTCTAATTTACTAAAAGCCACTCCATGATTTCTCAGTAGACCCTAATCTCTCATTTCCCCAGCCTGGCAGGCATAATGCTTATTTTCTTAGCACATTACGAATTATGAGTCAATAAACAGCACATTTAATGATGTGAAACCTCCATTTTATTTTGGATTATCTGTGAATGTATTTGGATTGATTGAGAAAAGCTTAATGTGAAATACCAAAGATAAAACCCTGAAACAGTTGAATAAAAAAATATTTGCTTTAAGACAATGATTTAACACTTCTCATTTAACATGCAGGTCAGGAACGTTTCACATCAATGACTCGATTGTATTACAAGGAGGCATCAGCCTGTGTCGTCATGTTTGATGTCACCAATTTTAGCACATTTACCAGTTGCCAGAAATGGAAACAAGATTTGGACAGCAAGGTGAAACTGCAAGATGGAAGTCCTGTCCCTTGTCTGTTATTGGCTAATAAGGTAAATAAATACTGACTTACTAAAACTTGTTAATTACCAGAAGAGACTGTAGGTATGCATTGTTACTTCATTGTAGAATCATAGAATCTTTTGAGGAGATGGCGTACAAATGGATGCATACATTTAAAAAGAGACAGAGGTTACCATGCTTTTCTTTGTATCACTATGGTGTGTGTGTTTGTATGTGTGTTTGTTTGCTGTTGAAAGATAAAAAGAGTATGTGGATCTCTGGAATGGATGAGTCAGGTAAGGGATTCCATCAGAAAAGGATTTCATAAAAAAACAACCTCCTGTTGGAGATGCAGTGTGATGTTAGACCAAAGACTAAAAGAGTAGTATAAAAATTGTGGCTGATTAAGTGTCAACTCATTGTCATCTCTTAACATCCACATAGATAAATTCTTGTGCAAAGCACTCCTGAGTCTGTAAGGCTGGATTGCTTGGCATTAAGTTGCTGCATGTATTGGGCAAGAATAGGGATATGTCCTCTCAGTGGCATGCCCTCCTACACCAGCTACAGTTCCAGGGCAGGAAAGGTAGGGTAGAAACAATTTTCCAAGATGCTTTAATTGTGACCTGGCAGTAAGTTATGATTGCCAAGTTGGGAGTCCTGCTGATGAACCACTCGTTCTACATGACAGCATGCATTCCTGAACTTCTGGATTTCATCTCAGATCTGGGCTTTGTTTGAAATTCATGCATTTTGTGAGCATTCCTGAGTTGGAATATAACATCTATTAGTGAAATAGATGTTATAACTAACAAAATGAATTTTATGTACAGAAATACATTATAAGATTAGGCAAAGCCTAGCACCTACTGGCTTCATGCTGTCATAATATTAAAAGCTATAAATAAACTTCTAGCTGCTGTCAGACAAGTCCAAATGCTCTCTTACTTTATGATCTGAAACATCAGAGTAGGCATACACCAAATCTTGAAGGGCAAGCTATTTCAGAAGAAAGGGACTAAAGCTGTAAAAATCAATTTCCAGGTCCCAGACCTCTTGTTTTGTTTTGTTTTGAGAAGAGTTTTCTTCCCCTTTATAGGTCAGACATATTCTACATGAAGAGGTTAGCCCTGAAGTCAAAGGCCTAAGTAATAAAAGGGTTGGATAGATGTTTATCCAGCATCTTGAATTGGCTTAGAAACCTATCAACAGCCAGATCAACTCACTTTAGATGTCATTCTACTAAACTGGCTAATGCCAATCAAAAAGTGAGGTGCTGCATTCTATGCCAGTTAGTATAATTTGGGCTAAGAGAAAGTACCATGCCCAATACTGTAACCTAATGTCTGGATGGAGATCTGGATTGGGGATTTTCAGTTTATAACCCTAAAAAATATGCTGCCTCTCAGTTTGAAATTTAATTCAACACAGGCAGAAAAACATACATTCTGTGAATTAAATCTTGAGTATTATACATTAGAAAGAGCTGATAATATAATTGTTGTATGTTCAGAATCCTTAAGTCAAAGATGGACACAGAAACATCCTGGCATTATAGAAATTTCCTGCTTAATTTTAGTTAAATTTAATTTTCTTGTCAAATTAATATAATTTGACTGCTTTGACTGCCTTAAGCAAATATTAGGCTATTTTTCAAAACTCAGACTTAATGAGAATTGATTATCTAACTTCACTAAAAAAACTAAAATACAATATTTTATTGAATTATAGCTAAAAGAAAAATGCTATTTTTCTTTATTAATCTGAAGTAATTTAGTAAGTTAATGGTGTTTAATATGATTCTGGGATCGTTGTATATGATAGATCCACATTATAATGCTACTCACAGAGTATAAATTAAATCTCTCTACAACGCATTGATTTCAATTTACTTGGCTCTCTTCTTGACAAATTAGATAATTTTCCTTCTCAGTGTTCTCTTTGGATCACTAAAAAGAGGTATATTTTCGTTAATTGCAGAATGGACATGAATAGTTCACTGCTTACGTTGCTAGTTTAAACTGCAACAATGTTAAACTAAAGATGTGCTTTATAATTAAATGTATTTAATTCAATGTAATTATATCTTGCAATTTAACAATAGGGACAGAGAAAAAATTGTGCTCGATAATTGTTTTCACAATGAGTTTGATATTGCTGAACTCTTTCAGAGTGATCTTTATCCATGGGCTATGACTAGAGAAGAAATTGATCAATTCAGCAAAGAGAATGGCTTTACTGGTTGGACTGAGACATCTGTCAAGGAAAACAAAAATGTAAATGAGTCAATGAGGTAGGGAAAATTGAATGCTTAAATATTTCTCAAAAGCAGTTGGGCATATTGTTCCTTTATGACTATAGTAAGTAGTAGTATCAAGTAGTGCTGCAGATATATTTAAGTTCTCCAAATGGGAAGTAGTGCAGCTTAGATTGGAATGAGAACTATCACAGAGATCAGGGCTAATTTATATTGAGATGACTGCCATTGCTATAGCTTATAACTGTAATGTAACAGTGATTCTCTATAGAAGTCTATGTTCTTACAGTAAGAGGCAATAAATTGAACAAACAGCATAACACAAGAAACAACAGTATATGCCTAGTTTATTAATATTTATGCACTTGAGCATCTCAGAGTTACAAACATATCTAGATGCTTGTTGACCTGTAGTTCTGTCATTAAAAATGTTGTATAAACAGTGCAGTGCGGATTTCCAAAATTATAGTTTTATTATTTACTCATCTAAAAGAGATCCAAAATGGAGAGGTTGCAAAAATAAATGGAGACTTACCCTTTCTTGAGATACTGTCAAATGATTGCTGAACATTTTGTGGGTAACTTAATTTTCTTCCTTCCTAGGGTCCTTGTTGAAAAAATGATGGCTACAACATGGCTAGGTGATAATGACATGTCTGTTTCAGGCCATGGAGACTATATCAATTTGAAAGATGGATCCACATCCAACTGGGGTTGCTGCTAACTATATTTGCTTCTTCATCGGACCAGAGGTCTAAAGTACCATTCAGACAAATCTATATACTTTTAAAAGCACTCACAAATTCTATATCTGCACTGTTGAGAAAATCAGAAGAGAAGGCAATCCCTCATTCTAGCAGGGACAATGGAAAATACTGCCTTAGCTGCTTATGAGCCACTGATGTACATTTTCCCCATTTCATTCAGTATTGCCTCTTCAGCTTCCTCAAGTATGCAGGATCTTCTGCTGATTTCAGCTCCCAGCAATTAAAGGAAAATCTCCACTCGTCTTGATCAAAAACACCATTGCAGGAAGTATGGGTATTGGGACCTTTCAAACATCCAAATGCCCCTAGCCTAAGTTATCTTGTTGTGTTTGACTGTTTATCCTCTGCTCACATTTAGCATAGACTTCTTTTAATGAGTCTTTTGTGGAAAGAGGCTTTGGACTGTCTCGTGACACAGCTACAGAATCCTCTTATTGCAGCTTTCCTTGAAGTGCCATTTTTGGTTTGTTGCTTTTGTCTTGTTCACCAATGTTATGTTTAAGCTTAGGAAAATTCTGACCACTTTTTTCCCCTGCACATGCAGTTGTTAAGCTCTTTCTTGAAGTTATTTTATTAGAGAGCCAGCGGTGAAGAGAGGCTAAAGCTATTGACTTCATTGCACTGATACACCTTACTAAGGCACCAGCCATATTTGTTGTCTTTATAGCCCTTTCTCTTGCAGGATCTAATTTGCCTCTTTCAGATTCTGATGAATTACTTGCCTTCAGCCATCCAACTAAGAAGGGTTATATAGCAGCATGGCAGGCTCTTTGAAAGGCCACCTACTGGTTTAGTGATCTGAGGGACAAAACAGAATAGAGAGTGTAGCAGAATAAAAGCTAAAGTTAAAATATTTCCTATGCCTTTTATTTTTTTGGAAAAAATAGCAGGAATTAACCCAATTTTCCTGGTATTATTAGCTGGCAGCCTTCTGTTTCTGGTGAACATAGGAAGTTAAAACTATTTACGTTTTTATAAATTGGTCAGTTTATAATTCAGGGAGGTTGATATTGCAAAATTGTCATCGATATTGAAGCATTTGAATTTTTAATATTCGTTTTTAAAATGGTCAGGCAAGTTCAGTGCTTAAGAGTAAAATATTCTGGGGATGAAAAAGATTAGAAGTTATTAGAGAACTGATTGCAAGTAGCTCTTTCGTTTTCTGTCAGTGTTTCCATCTTGGCTATGCTAACACAACAGCAAAGCTTGAAAAGCCTTAAAATAGGTGCTTCACACAGATTGAACCAGTCGTCCTTCCAGAAGACTTCCAATGGCTGTTTCAAGGGCTTTCCCAGACTCCCTTTATGTATGCATCCATAGGTGTTTCATTTGCGGTCTGTCTGAGCAAAGTCATGCACTAACAAATTGGGAAAGCTCTTGTATTTGAAGATGGAAATTCAGTCCTTTTAAACGGTCTAAGATGTATAGGGGATGAGTTTTATGTCAGCTTCTCTATGTGTAAGTGTGTGTATTTTCTAGAGATTATATCAATTCCAGGGGCCTTCTGTTAGAACTGCAGTGACAAAATCTTTACATTTAGATATCTTTCTTAATGACAATCTCCTCGTTACCTGTATTTTTTTTACAAAAAAATGCAGTTATCAGAAACATACTGTAGTGATCAGCAATTCAAACTGAACCACTTTTAAGGTGTGCTGAATAGGAGAACTGTGCTCCATTTAAGTTTGCTTATTTTTTGGAGTGCAGTATTCAAGCATTACTTGGTCCTGTTTTAAACAGGGAACAGCAAAACAGCATAATATTCTTCCTACAGTATACAAACAATACCAATGTTTTGCCTAGTTAACAAATATTAGGAAAAAAAATTAAGGAAACAATTAGGTAGAAAATTTCTCTTCAACATCCATTGGAGGGAATCGTTATGAAATGGTCATACTGTTTGTCTGAAAGACGGAAGTAGTTCTTGTACCATTTTGGGAAACAGTATATGATTTAGAACTGAATGTCTGTCCAAAAGGAATTGCTGTCAACTAATTTGTCTGAAGATGTTTTAACAAGTTGCACATATTTTTTTCAAATAGCATTTCTGGCACAGCATCATTTCCTTTTGATGGCAGTAAAGCATGGGAATTTAACGGATTATATCTTATCAATTAAACTCAGTGCAGCTACTTTGACTGACTACAATGGGGAACTTTATGGCAGTGGTTCTCAACCTTTTTAATGCCACGACCCCCAACCGGTCGTACGTCGAGGACTACCCAACCGGTCGTAAGTCAAGGACTACCCAACTGGTCGTAAGTTGAGGACTTTCCCTGCCCGGGAGCGTCGCGCATGCGTGGTGCCGCCCCCTGCGCCGGCTGAGGCGTAGCTGGCAAGCGGCAGAGACGGAGCAGGCCGATCACTGGCTGGGCCACCAGCTGGTCCAGCCCAAGGGAGGTAAGGCACCCACCGGGCCCCACGTGTGCCAGCAACCCTCCCTGCGCCCACCGGCCTCCCACCCCTGGCCCTCTTTTACTTACATTTTTAGTAGTTGCTCAGCAGGGAGGGGTGGAAACTTCCAGACAGCTCACCTTTGCTGCAGACAACTTGCAGCACCGTTTGCAGAATGGGACTTTTGGCGGGCTCAGTAGGGCAGAGACAGCCTGGACAATTCCTATTGGCTTGTGAAAGCCAATAGAATTAGACTCTATTCAAGAGAGTCTATTCTATTGGCTTTCAAAAGCCAACAGAATAAAAGGGAGTAGCACAGCTAAGGAAAAGGGGGAAAAATGGCAGACTGTGTTGTTTGGCGACCCCCGTGAAATGGTCGTTCGACCCCAAATGGGCTCGCGACCCACAGGTTGAGAACCGCTGCTTTATGGGAATGATATAAAATTGCTTTATAGTGAGAGGAAAATGTATAGAATTTTATGTCTGTGAACTTTTGCACTGTGCTTTTTTTAATCACATGATTTGTCAACTCGCCCTTTTAGACAATAAATAAGCTTTTTAAAAATAAACAAAAATGTCAAATTGTTATTTGCACCTATTTATTGGCTCATAAACATTATTTGAAAGACTCAATGGCTAGGGAAACAGCAAATTTGCCTTGAGCAATCATGAAAGGATCAACAAGAATGCAAGGTATATAATTAAAAACAAAACTACAACATTTTAAAATAAAGCATTGCAAAATAAATGATAGTTTGAATATTAATTCTGGTTTGTGCTGATCTTAAATTATTTGCAACCCTTTTTTTGTCTAGTCTTATCACAGTAAACATGTTATTTGCATAAATGTTTTATGCTACATACTTTAAGCAATTGTCCAAACGTACACATACTGCTTACATTCCGTTTAAAAACGTTTGTTCACGCTCCTTTGTTGGCTGCAGATGAAGAGGAAAGCCTTCAAAGGAGATGAACTTCAATGATAATAGCTCTTTTAATTTTTCTAAAGGAAAAATTAATTTGTTTCAATGTGTAAAACTCATCTAAGTGCACAAAAAGACCTTTAAGTTGATAATGAAACCATTTTTCTCTTACATGTTCATTATGCCTTCTGTAGATTTATACTTTCTTTCAAGATTGCTTATAGTGTAAGCACTTTGTATATATCTGATATTGCAGAATTAAAAGAAAATGGAAGAAAACATATATCCCATGCCTTCCCCTAAAAATGAAACTTTATTTCCCTTGATAATATCTTGTCCTATGGATAGATTCCACTGCTCATTAGTAGGACAGTTTCTTTTTATATAAGGAGGCTGCTTTCTATATAATGTGGACGCTACAAGTTTCTTAGCTTGTAAAGTGTAAATGTATGGAATAAAATTACTCAGTGTTTTTCAATGCAGTTGATTTGAGAGTGAAGAACAGTATCAATTACAAAATCAGTTTTAGAATACCATCCATGCTTCCACAATTGATGAATATATTATTTGCTCACTTTTCCTGATTCATCTACATCAGTGGTTCTCAACCTGTGGGTCGGGACCCCATTTGGGGTCGAATGACCATTTCACGGGGTTCGCCAAACCACGCTGTCCGCCATTTTTTTCCCTTTTCCCTAGCTGTCCTACTCCCTCTTATTGGTGGCCACACCCACTTGGGGGTCACCACAACATGGGGAACTGTATTATGGGGTCACGGCATTAGAAAGGTTGAGAACCACTGATCTACATGGTGTCACATGGAATACAAATTTAGATATAGTAAAATTATTATCATCTAACCACTGTTCTCTCATTCCTTCTTAGTCTACAAAATATGTAGCACCCACTTATAGACCAGGGGTTTATATGCATGCTGTACAAAATGTGTACATGGCTATTCTATATGTAATCTCATAGAAAAATTGAGAATCTTCCAATAACTAACTTACTATAATCAAATACTCAAGTTTTACAAGAAGATGGGTTCCATGTGTGTATGTTATATAAAATTCTGGTCATACCTTAACAGTCATAAAGACAATTAAAATATCCATAAAACATTAAATACATGACAACTGTAAAATATAAAACTAAAAGATTAGCATTAGTTTGGATTTTATTTATTCAGCTATTTATTACAGCTGCTTTTAAGTTGTTTCAATCACCAAGACTCTGACTAGAAAGGTGGCCCCACAACTATTTTTGTTTTTATGTTCTGGACCAGCTAGAATTTAAATGTATTCAAATTAATCTTGTCTGAATTAGGCTTCATTTATTCTACTACCGATACTAATAGGTCAATGCTCAGCTGATCCAAAAAAAACCAAACCCTGCACTTGTGGGAAAATGCTAGGAAGAAAACACAGTATTTTTAAACACAATTTTGAATTATATTTTGTTCACCGGTATTGGCTTTCTGTTATATTCCCATTATATCCCCATTCAGACTTTCTACTTATAAATTGACTTTAAGTGAACCAAGACTGCCATTCTTATCCATATTTATGGACCCACTTAGGTCTCTTGTACTAGAATTCTTTGCTAGAGTGTTTTAAGTGTCAGAATAGTTTTTCTAAACTGTCACATCAATACATTTGAAATGACGATTCAAGGTCTTCTGGATGTTAGAAGCATGAGTAAATCATTAAATCTCTTATAGTGGATTTTTTGGTATTTTGAAAATTTGAAAGTACTGTACTCCATTACTCCACTAATTCTGCCTGGAGTTCCTTTGATTTTTCCCATCCAAATGTAAGATGATTCCATTTGTTCCTGATGAGATTTATATTTTTGCTTTTTATTTCAGCTGATTAAATTCCTCCTAATCTTGATACATCTGCTAAGGTGTTCGTTATCTCTCCATTTTTGTGTCAGCTACAAATGTGATAATCATATTTTCTAACAGCATTGGGCCTAGAATTGACTCTGGCAGTATGTTACTGCCATAATGTATGTTTTTGGGAACTGATGTTCACCCAGTTCTTTATTCTTAATCCAGCCCATGTTTTGTTGTCTTCACTGCTAGGATCTAAAGGTTCTCAACCTTTCTAATGCTGCGACCCCATAATACAGTTCCCCATGTTGTGGTGACCCCCAACCACTTATACATCACCGGGTGCCAGGGGCGTGGCCAAAACAAAGGGGGAAAAAAATGGCGGACAGCCTTGTTTGGCGACCCCCCTGAAATGGTCGTTCGACCCCAAATGGGGTCCCGACCCACAGGTTGAGAAGCACTGATCTAAAGTGAGAATTCATAGAATGCATTACTGAAGTCGGTATATTATGTCCACTGCATTCCACTGGACAAGTATACTGACCAATTTTATTTAAAAAAATATTGATTGGGATCCTATGACTATATCTTTAAAGAAACACATTTTGGCATTTGGTTCTGCCTTGCTTTTTGTTGCTTAGGTAAAAATTCTATTTCCAGTTGCAGGAAGCAAACTGTTCTAGTTTTTGCTGAATTGTAGGATAAATCTCAGTGATGTAAATTTCAAATATGTGTCAATCAGACACAGCAGAAGTTACTTATTACTCATTAAATTATGTTTTGGTAGGTACATTTATAATTTAATCTGGTTCTGTAAAAAACATTTACAATGATGTGAAGAAACATTTTTGTTCATTACAATATCAGCATTCATTTACATTTTTATGAAGAGAGAAAACATGCAAAACAGAACAATCTTCATTTTTTTGTCCTTTTTATTCTAGAACTGTTTCACTGGCAGTTCAAAATACAGTGAAACTTCAGTTTAACAGCAGACTTTAAATATAAGAAACAAGATTTCTGTTTGGATATCCATCTGAAATAGGGGGCAAGTCTGTTTTATCCAATGTAGTATGGAAATGGTAGTTAAATTGATGCTATTGTTTATGGTCATTTGCATAATGATATAATTAAATAATACAGTACAAATAAATACATAATACAAATTGTTTGCATCAAATTATGTGTGTAATGACATGTACAAGGTGGTAACATATGCAAATATAGTATACAGTATCTATATTATACAAATGACAATCTGTATGAATATATATTGCAAGTTATTGCCATTCAGTTGGAACAGATACCCCCTTCCCCAACTAGTTTTTAAACTGAAGTTTCATTTTATATAAAATAAGGAAAAATGGGCACAGATCAGAATGAGGGTAATTAAACAGGTTGCTTATGCATTTTAGGCTCTGTAGAGGTAAGAAATGGAATTTCTGACCCAGCATCCTTTGGAAAGATATGAAGTTCTTGCAAGCTACATGCAAACTGGACAAGAGACCCTCCAGCTCAAGAAGGTACAGTCATAAAGTTGGAGAATCATAGATGATACTCTGAAATTACATTAGATGAAAGAATTAGTAAAGAGTTTGCTGAAAACTCCTGTAGTTAAAACCAATTGTTTATAATTAATCCAAGAAGGAAAATAGGAAATGAAATTTAGCACATATAAAACAACATATATTGCATGATGACAAATAGGAAATGTAGCATCTGAGTAGAGGCATTCAATTTAATGCATAATGTGGGATTTAACTTCTATTATTGCTGCTGCTACTTTTGAGTATATAGATACAGACAGCACAAATATAAGCATCAATTTATAAATAAGTAGTCCTGAATACAATTTTTGAACATTACTATCATATTCACCCTTGCCTTTTTTCAAGGTTTATTGTGGAATTCTTTGGTATAACTTCATAATATCTAGTTTATTGCCCAATTTTCTGCATTACCACTCTCTGAATCAGTTTCAAGTTATCTGAATTTTTCTTTCAGTATGGTACAGAGAACTAAACATACTTGGCAAATCTGATCAATACAAAATAAAGAGGACATATTTTTTTCCTGTGATTTGAAAAATATACTTCTGCAGCTTAAAATTATGCTTTCCTGTTTTGCAGCCTGGTTCATATTGTTTGTATTCTGGTACAATTCCATGATGCTTTTAGCAAGCATTATTAAGAAGGCAGGTAATCCCCATTCTGTACTTGTTTTATGTTTCCAAGATGAAAAACACTGTACTTACCCATCTTAAAATGCATTCTATTATTTTAAATCCATTTCTCTAACTTAAGATAATTTTTAATTTTATTTATTTTCTGAGCTATCCTAGCCAATTTTCTGCTATCCACAAATTTGATATTCCCTCCACATCTTCATCCAAGTTGTTAATAAAAACATTGAAGAGTAGCAGATCTAGGACAGATTATTATAGTAATCCTCTTGATATTTCTCTCTGATTTGATGAGAAACTACTGATGAACCCTTTAGGTGTGATTGCTGAGCCAGCTTTATGGTCATATAAGTGTCATGCTGTCCAGCCCGCAATTAACTAGCCAGCTAATCAATACATACTAATATTTAAAAACATCTCAATCAATGATACATCTAATCCTGGAGTCATATGTTCATTCAAAGTAAGAAGGACTTCCTGACCATATTTCTATCAATTTCAGGTTTTAATATTGCCCTTCCATTCTGCTCTCCACTATTTCTTGTTGCAATGTGTATCTCTTTAGTTGGAGACCTCTGAACAAAAATAATTTACTTTTTATTTATTTATTGTTAAATTTATTTGCCACCCATCTTGTCAAGGGGCTACTCTAGGCGGTTTACAACAATAAAAACCAAGAAATATAGGTATAAACAAAACAGAAATAAAATAGAAGAATAAAATGAAAATGAAAAAGAACAACAAGAATACATCAATATGATAACAAAACTATGGATGGATGAAAGCAGAGACCAAGGGGGTAGAGTGGAGTCTGCCATCAATCCAGCAGCCACCTCCAGCATGGAATTCCACCATTTGGTCCCCGGGCAAACTGGCAGAGCCAGGTCTTCAGCTACTGCAGAAGGATATAAGGGTAGAGGCAGATCTTAGAGAGTAGAGAGTAGAATGTTCCAAAGGGCGGGTAGAGCAGAGAAGGCTCTTTTTCTGGATCCCGATAGAGTTTTTTGACTAATGGAATTTGTAGTAGGTCCTTTCTGTTGGGACAAGTAGGACGGACTTGTCCTAGCAGGAGGAGACGATAATACTTTTAATATTTTTGTCTCCCCTTTTATTCATTGCTACTTTGCAGAGGTGAAAGGACTTGTACGCTACAGGGATGGTCTAAATTGTCATCAGGAATGTACACTCCAAGAAGGCTCATTCTTGACTAGTTGATCATAAAGGATCTGTCAGCAAACAATCTACTAGAGAATAAATGACACTCCATTACTATATTCTGCCAAGAAAATCAACCAAGACAATGCCTTTTACTAGAAGATGAGCCACTCAGGTCAGAATGCATCCAACAAGGTATAGGAAAAGAGAGAGGACAATTATAAGTATCAGTGGATCTTATGGTGTGGCTGGATTAAAGCTGAAAGATACACATCTAATGAAGCCAGATGTGTATAACATTGATATAGAGAATGCCAAAACCATGAATCAAGGCAATTTTGTCAATGCAGAAATGTCAAGACTGAATATTAATATTCTGGGAACCAATGAAATGATGTAGACTAGATTAGGTCACTTCATATCAGGGGAGCACCAGAACTTCTGTTGTGGATTATAAAATCATACAAATTATTTTATAATGAAGAAGCCATTATAATTACAAAAAGCATTACTGCTGGTATCTACGGAGATTCTCAGTCTACCAGGTTATGGTTGTCCCAAAGTTGCTTTTTTCAAAAGGCAACTGGACTTTGTTCTTTTTCTTGAAGAAATTTTGCCAACAATTTTCTTCAGTTCTGGCTGAATAGTAGAGGAAAGGATTTATACTCATTTATAATCATCTGGTCATTAGCACTCTTTCTGAGAATCATTTCACTGAGATCATTTGGAGGTTTATCTGTGCTCTTAGGGTCACCTGAACAGTGCAAATGGATGCGGAACCTTCTTGGAACTGCTGTGACATTGGAATTAAAATTGGTGAGAGAAATATTGACAATTTCAGATTTGTTGAAGATACCTGAAACACAGGTATTTTGTATTTCATGTCATAGTCTGTCATGTGGGCAAGTCGAAACAATAGTACTAGAATCAAATAGTACTAGAATCAGATTTCTCCCACTAATCTGCTATATTCATACTCTTTCTGGCCCTCTTCTATGGATTAGATGACTGGATAAAAACAACATCTGAACCACTCGGTATCGAGCTTCCTTCCAAGAAGTATAAGTGGTTATACTTCTATATACATAAGAAAACAGTTCAGTATAAAAATAAATAATCAAAATCCATACATGATTCACTATTATCAAAACCATGGACAAACATCAAACTTTACTTTCATAACTCAATAACACAAAGATATACCCTATAAATTTCTAATATATTCAATGTGAAAAATAAAAGCCTCCTTGAAGCTGAACACAATTTCTTGGATACATGCGTGCAAATCTGTTGCAAACAATAAAGAAGTTTACCATTGCTTTCTTATAGGATGCTTTTCAAATTTCAAGTCTAGCCTACAGTTCTGGTATTCGATGGTAGTCTTCCATCAATTATTCACCAAGCCTGACCTTATTTATCTTCCAATCCAGTCCATCTATTCTAAGATGGTTACTGTGGGGAATAATAAGGAGCATTATATATACTGCCTTGCCCCTTGAGTAAGACAGAAAATCAAAACTCAAGGTATGAATGGAATAAGTGCTAGTTCACGAAGTTAGATTCTAGAGTGGCTGTTTCTGTGTAAAATGTTCTGCCTGATATAGCATAACTGGAATTGACCATTGGTTGCAACTTCATTAGTAGAAATAATAATGTTTCATTCAGTGGTATACCGTAAACAATTGAAAAGCCTCTAAGCAGGTAGAGGAATTTCATTACAGTGTCATTCTGAATTCCTTCTTCGAGAAAACATTTAAGAAACATTGTGCTGTTAGTTTAAACAATTAAGGAGAAAATAGGAAGAATGGCAAGTGTAAAATGAATATGATAAACATGTATCACCCAACTATATGTAATGAGGCTCTGTTCCTACACATATGTATGTTGTTTACAGCTAGGTAAATAAGGATAAGATTTTTTATTAATCTCCAAATACTCCATATTCTGGCAAATGTCATTCAGTATTTTACTAAAGCTTTCTTAAAAGTCCTACAAATAATATAAATGTAAGACACATTTAATGTGCATTTTACGGATGTTCATTTTGGGGAATGAACATCTATAATCTATAATCTGTAGCACTATTTTAATTCCTTTGTCATATAAATATACTTTCCTAATTAGATGTTACAAATCAAATCTTTAAGTAGGATGTTGGAAACAATTTTTCCAAATAACTGTATTAGCTATTACAGTTGAAAAGAACAAAAACTACAGTAACTGAAAAATTATAAAAAGAAAAAAAAGTGAAAAAAAAAAAAGTAACCTCCCATTTCATCCCAACAAGCCCACACAATTTAAATAAATGTATTGCCATCTCTTCAGTTACAACATATTGTCTCTTTACCCCATATCTCATCTCTTAGCTAAAAACATAATACCATATCCTTTTCATTTATTCCCTAATAACCAAAGTCCAATAAATGTTGTTAGATATATCTATCTTAACCTTGATCAAATACGCCAATCTTGTATTTGTTTCCTATATTTTAAATGATGTTAATTAACCCTTCCAACCTGATTTTTGTCATCGATTTTTATACTTCACCAAAAATTATTTCAGGAATTTAGCAAGTTTTTTTTGTACATCCAGTAAAAAGAATTCTTCAAATTATTTCACAGATATTTTTGTACATCCAGTAAAAAAAAAAAATCCATCTCTTATTTGGTTTGATAGTTGTGTATCTCTTTTAGACATCTTCCAATTTCACTTGAAAGTCCAGCACATCCTTTTCTACCTCCTTCTCATTACTCGCCATATTTATATCCACATTCAAGTTAATTTCAAACATATCCAGAGGATCTTGTTCTCCTTCCATTGAATTTTAACTGTCCATATATCTATTGTTTCCCAGACTATTTGTCATAAATTGTCATTTTTTTTCATAGTTTCCCATGAAAAAGGTAATTGTTAGAATAGTTCCTTCAATTCTTTTGTTATCCTCTAGTTCCCTCTGGTGTCCATCATTTAAAGTCTCATTATCTTGTTTTGACTGTTGAGAGGGTAAACTACTGGTATGACATTTTCTCATGGGAAGAATTCTTTCAAAAGTTTAAAATTATAATTCCAGGACCTTTTGAGCCCTTAATCCATTGTTAAATTTTCTAAAATTCATATTCTAAGCCCCCTTTTGCTGTTTAATCCAGAAAATATTTTTCAAAATCTTTTAAAATCATATTTAAAATTTTTTCTCTATGAAGACAATTCACCTAGCAAATGAATATTAACTCCTTCTAAACAGCAACAACAAAACACAAATCCAAAGTAATTAAGAAGTGAAGCTCAGTCAAGCGTGATGTCTTTTTAAAAGACTGCACTGATGACAGTGAGCAAGGGTGGTTCCCTCCCTCAACTCCCAGCCATTTAACCCATAAGCCAGACATGCTGGCTAAGGAATTCTGGGAGATGAAGTCCACAAGTCATAAAAGGGCCAGGTTTGAAGATCCCTGCCGTAAGCAACCTGTGAAACAGCAATTCTTGGGATTTAGTCACAAGGAGCAGCGGTGTAAAGTCATGTGGGCTCTCTCAAGATCTCCCTTTACTCTAGGGAGATATCAATAGTCCAGATCATGCATTTAGGTGCTGACTCTATTATAATGTCATCCTGTTACTAAAAAGGGATGTTTAGCTCACCATGCTCTCAACCATAAGTCCAATATATTGGGGGAAAATTCACTAAGCAGAAAGTTTTCTTAATGTGAGATTCCACATTCTATTTATTGGAAATCACCTTAGCTTCAGAATTCATCTTAATACCCAAATTTTGTGACATATTCTACTGTACAGTCTTAGTAATTAGTCCAGAAATTATTCTTTTTGGCAGGAGAGATTATTGGGCTTTGGAGAAGTTGGATTTAAAAGTATAATGTGTTTTTTTTAATGCTGCACAAAATAAGTCTGCCCAACTGAAAAGCCCTTTTCTATAAAAATAAATATCAGCAGATGAAAACAAAGAAAAAGAAAAGACAACTCTATACATAACTCAACATTTCCTTCACATAGGCATATTTTAGCAAGGTAGGCTACAATGAAATATAGTACAGTAAAAGAAATTTGGATGCCTGAAATACTTTTTTTTTCTTTTGTCTATTTCCCATTATCACCGAGGCAAATTCTTACAAAGAAATAGAAAGGTGCAACTCAGAATTCTAAACTTTATTCATTTTTTCTTTCACTGTTCTCTTAGCTCATGTTGTTAAGGTAAAGCAAGGGAAAGAGTGGGCAAGACATAGGTAATAGAATAAGATATAAAGTGAGCCAGTTTGGCCTAGTGGTTAAGGCACCAGGATAGAAACAAGAACCTCTGTGAGTTCTAATCCCACCTTAGGCATGAAAGCTGGCTAGGTGACTTTGGGTCACTCACTGGGTCTCAGTTGACCTCACCAAGTTGTTGTTATGGGGAAAAGAGGAGGGAGAGGAATATTGGTACATTTGCCGCCTTGAGATATTTATTAAAAAAAAGTGGAATAAAAAGAAATAATCAAAAACTACTCTCTATTTTCCCATATTGATTTATAAAGAAAATAGCTACAAACTAAATGAAAAGATTAAAGTTGGAATTTTAAAAACAACATACATCCACTTCCCCCAAAGGTTCAGTCATACTTTGGGGAAGGAAAGGTAAATCTCATTCTTAAGTACTATTTCTTTCTAAGGAAGCTAGTAATCTGTGCACTTTTAATTTAAATGAAAGTTCTGTGATGCTTAGAATGATTTTTGAATTATGTGCATGTAGGAGTGGGCTGTATGTGTTTTAAGTTATGATCGATTATGATCCAGGCTTCAATTTGCTAGATATGAATCTAGTAAGGCTGTATGATTTGCAGACATTGCAAGAGTTAACAACCCAGTAGTTAGGTTTCTACAATTAAAGGCAGCCTGCTTGGGAAGCTTTGCAGTTGGGAAACTCTGCTTTGTAATCCTAAGATTTTCTTAATGATTTCCAGGTGGTTACTCAAGAATGTGGGAAAACGTTTTGCACATAGTCAAGATGTGAGACTGGATTGTATTTTTCATATGTTTGATATTTTTAAATATCAACACTATCCTTTATAAATTGCTGGGGGCTCACAATTAAATGGTATGAAACTCAAATCACCAGTAGAAGCACAATGCAAAATATGTTCTTAATTTTCTTAGAGATAACAAACTAAAATTGTGTGTATGTGTGTTTCTGCTGTCTTCTCACATTGCATCTATATTTGTGCATACACACGGGGAAGCGCTGAGTGGGATGCATAAGCTCTATGCTGCATTTATAACAAGGAGGGAAACTTAGACCAGAGGAATTCACAACAGTTCAAGTTGCTACCCAACTGCATCTCCCATAGAGATGCATTGTGGCATTTTCCTCCCTGGAGTGTCTTTCCTATGGCTAGATCTAATTTTTAACATTTTATTTTGCTGGTTTATCATACCATATTTAGTCCAGTTTTGATCTGCTTGTGTAGAATTATCCCTCTAATTAGCCGATGGACAGAATCCAACATTCTGTTGAACTGGAAGGAATAACAAATTAGGAAGGCATGGAGAGCATAGCTTCTGAACTCTTTGCAACTTCTTAATAGTCCCTGTGGGTCACTTGACGGGGAAGAGAAAAGGGGGCTTAGAATGGTGGAGCCAGTACTCTTCTAAGCTGCTGCCCAATTGCCTCTCCTACAGGCTCCCTTGAAGTTCCACAAAAATCTGACCTATTTTGAAACACACTATTTCTTTTGCTGGCCTTTCTCAGTCCATCAAATTTGTTCTGTGCCATTTTAAGAGAATTAAGAATGCTGCCATCCAGATGAACAGAGTTACAGGTCCCCTGACATAATTTTTTCCATCATGTAGTTGGATTTGAAAGAATACGTTACTTCATCTACATATATTTACAGCCTGAGAAATATGCCACTGGATATTTCTATCTTGGGTGCCATACTAACTTGGCTGGCTTTAGATAGTTGGCTTGTGGGGGGATAATTTGTTGCTTTATCTTAGGCAATAAATCAATCTATTGATAATCTGGTCAGAGAAGGTAAAAGTGTATGAGCAAAGTTGGAGACTGCTCCTCCAAGGAGCAACTGTCTTGCCCTTGCTACCTTTGGATGCCCAGATAGAATATGTAAGCAAGTATACTTCTGCAAAGAGAGAATCTAGGTGAGAATTAGGAAGAGGCAGTAATGTCCATCTAATTCTTATTGCCAAGAAAATAAAAGACAACTAAAATTTCCATTTCACTTGAATTCATCTTGAATTGTACCTTGCACAGTTCAACTCTATTTTTATGGCTTCCTCTTGATTTTTTCTGTCTCAAAAAAGTATCATTCTGGTAATAAGAAATATTGAAAAGAGAAAAGGTAATTCTCTTTCAGTGAAGCAGCACAGTTGATTAGGCACATGGGCCTCAGTATTATAAAATTTAGCAACAAGCACCTCATTCACTTACTTGTTCATTTAAATTCTGATAGTATATTTACTCAGTGAACCAAATCCTCTATTTATGCAATCCAGAGGGAGAAAGAAGGTGCTTTAGTCAGCACTGTATAGATTGGTCAATATTTGTGGTTACAAATTTGTTTTCTCCTTCTACAATGTAGTTTTCTGATTGATTGGAAATAAAATTAAGCCAAGTTTTATATAATAAATAATTGACCCAAATATTAAATTGGTGCCACTGTGGGTTTAGCATGATACATTAATCTAGTAGTCCCTCTTTTTGCTTAGGTGACCTAATCAAGAAACAAAAATGCCTTTCTTCTCATTCATTTGGTAATGGAATAGAGCAGGGCTTTTCAACCAGTGGTACGGGTACCACCTGTGGTACATTGGCACTGGCAGGTGGTACATGACCATCCTAGAAAAGTGGTAGCGGGAGAGGGGAATAAGCTGAACTAGTGCTAGCACCGCACAAGCCTGAGCAAGAGATGGCTGGAGCTGCAGGGCTGTCAGGGCTCAGCAGAAGCACCAGGATCAGCGCTTCTTCGGGGCTGTCAGGGCTCAGTGGAAGCGCCAGGATCAGCACCAGACTCCAGCTGTAGCTCGGCGCTGATCCTGGTGCTTCTGCTGAGCTCAGAAGAAGCACCAATCATCTGGAATGTTGCAGCATCTCCAGGATCTTGTGATTTACATTCAGATGCTTGGCAATTGATTCATATTTATGATGGTCAGTGTCCCAGGGTCATGTGAAATACTAAAACCTGCTGCAACCACCCAGCAGACGGGGGAATAAAAACCAAACACCCCCCACCCCACCCCTGCTGTCAATCCTCAACAGAAATGCTCACAACAATGAAAACCTCGGAGATGAGGAGGAAGAGCGCCGCCAGGTATGCAGGCAGGTGTCTTGCTTGGCTGGGCTTGGGGGGCATTTTTTTCAGTGCCACTGTAACTTTGAACTAAGCAAACTGTTGTAAGTCGAGGACTACCTATACTTTATCACTCCCCCCCCCTTTTTTTTTTGGTCATCAAGGTTTTGACATCTTGCTAGGTGATTGGTGGTACTCAGATGTTGCCATATCCTAAAAGTGGTACAATGGGTGGAAAGGTTGAAAAGCCCTGGAATAGAGGGCTGTTCCCTGGGAAAAATAGGTTACTTATTCTGCCTCTTTCCTCAGCCGCTATTACCCTGGCTTACAGGTAAGAGAAAGAATGAGGCGGCTGCTCTTTTACCAATGCTGTACAATTATTACTCAAAGAAGCTGGAAATTATTTTTAAGAGCCAGCCAGTTACTTTAAAGTACCATCCATCAGTCCTTCAGCCAACATGGTGCTTCTACCCAGATACCAAATCTTCTTCTGTCTCAGTAGAGACCAGCGAGCAGGGCAAACTAAATCCAAGCAATTGGGTTTTAGTTGTTTTACTATTGTTTGCCTACAGGAAAAGAGATATCAATTGCTTTTAGTGCGTGCTAGGGCTGATGTTTTGAACAGAGGACAAGAATGGAAGAGACAAGAATAACCCTACCCTACTGCATTTGTTAGCATATTTCCCTGTCTCTCCCCAGAACAGCAATAATCCGAGAAGATTCTGCCACGGCACGGAGAGGTTTCCGGGGAGCTAATAGTATCTTCACTTTAATTTTATAGCCTGTTGTTTGTCATCCCCTAGTAAGTAATAAGAAGCCGAGGATGTGAAGAGGATACTTTAAAGTGGCCCTCTGGGGAATAATAATAACCTACCAAATAACCATTTAACTAATTTACCAATCAAGAAACGTAAAGATAAAGTGCGTGCCTGGTACTGCCCTACCGTTACATATGTCTGAGAGCTGATTGAATCTCACTTTCCTTTTCCTCCAAAATCCTTGCCCAGTTTTGCTATCGAATCTGCTGATAGGCTTCGAGATTAAGATCTCGTTTAGTAAATACCTATTAAAACAAATTATCTCGCCTGCAAAGGGGACTGAGCCTTTTGAACTCTCGGAGGGGAATGCAAGAGGGTTTTTGGCGAATCTGTCAACGTCGTAGCCCGCCAGGTTTTTTTTTTTTTTTTTGGTAGCTGTTGTTGGCTTCTCAGAGCTACTCAGCTCTCATATTAGCTTTAGCGAGGGGGGTACTCTCCAGCTTCTTCACTCCTCCCGCTCTCAAAAAAGGGGAGGGCCGTCGCGTCCATGATCGTTCGAATGAGCCAATAGGTCCCAGCGAGTCCGTGAAGCGACCAATGAAAAAATTAGGGAGGAGATGCAAGCGGTGTAGGTTGCGCCGTCCTCTCAGCTCGGCGCATCCCCTCTGCTGGACGAAGTGCGACCATTTTGCAGGGGGGGAGCTGCGAGTGTGGCCATTGACGGTGCAAGAGAGCCAGGTTTGGGGCGCGGGACGGCGGCCTGAGTCGCTGGACCCGGGGATTAACGCCCCCTCCCCGGGAAGGCGAGCAAGAACAGTGCCAACGCTTCTCGGATATTTTGTCGTCTTCGTCGCCAGTGCCCGCCTCCGAGCTTCGATTTAACCAGCCAAGATGTCTAGGCCTGTCAGGTGAGTCCTTTGCAAATGGAGAAAGGCCCTTGAGGGCTGTTTTGGTTTTCCCCGTCGGAGGCCATCCTTGGACCCGAAACGGAGGCACGAGCAGAGCTGGCCAGGAAGTCCCACGCGAGGGAGAGAAGGCGGCCCGGACCGAGGAGGTATGGCGGGAGAGCAGAGGGGAGGGGCGTGTACAGGCATGCAGCGTGCTGCTGCTGCTCCTCGATAGTTGGGGGGGACTACAGTACAGTATGGCACGCCGCTGCTGCCGCCGCCGCCCTGCAGGTCCCTCCTTACCGGATGCAATGCTGCCCCTTAAGGTTAGCGCAAGCAAAGTCCATGCTTCGATTTGGGAAGCGTCGGCGTCGGCAGCGCCTCTAATTCTTTCAGTGCGCATCGCCAGCGAAGAGTGAACGCAGGCCAGTCCGGCATAGCTCGGTCTCGAAGGTTTGTATGCGGTTTCACCCCGGAAAAAGCCAGGCGCCTAGATAATGCCGAAGTACACCACAGTCAACATGTGTCTTTTTAAGCCTTTTTGTATAGCTTTGCTGGTACATATGTGTCAGGACGCAAGCTTCTTGGCAGGAGTGAGCATCTCATAGAGAAAGGATTTCCTGATGGGAATGGGTAGTAGATTATTTTAACGGACAGATTTAGAAGCAAGGAAATTTTTCTTTCTTCGTATCAAATGGTGCAGTTTCTTCAGACGTGTAGCAAAGCCAGACAATCTTACATTTCACTGTGTGTATTATATTTAAATCTTGATATTTTTCAAAGGAATTGACGTGTGGCTCTGTTTAAAATTAAATTTTCCAACAATCTTATGGACTGAAGATGAGCTTTCTAATCAGCATTGTGGCTGATTGAAAGTTTGAATTTACTTTTTCTTCATGGTGAAAGAAGTATGGAATTTTTGTCTGCCTTTGATAATAAACCCTTTGTATAGTGTGTTAACTTGTTTCCCTGTCAGTTTTGCCAGGATGCTTTGGTCATCCTTTTCACTGTTATTCTAGGCTCATTGAGCATGTCAGGATACTCTCTTTTCAAGGGATTTTCTGACAGCTTTTCAGCTCAATCAGGCAGCTTCAATCAGGTATGCTTTCCACCTCCATTTCCTGTAGGATATATATAAAAACCTGTCTAGTAAACAGGAGAAGAGAGAAATTTTCAATATTTCTAATTTGGCTGTTAAAGTCAGCCAAAAAATAGAAACCTAACATTCTATTTCTAACTCATTTGTTGTGGTAGGACTAAAAAGTGACTTGTCTCAAATTCTTCTGCTAAATCTGTGGATCAACAAAAGTTAAGTACAGATTGCTCCAATCAAAATTTATTCTTTGGTACACTGTGGTAGCTTTTATGTAAATTTTAAAACACATTCACTGGGTTACAACTTACTGTAATGTAATTCTCAGCAAACTGTAACATAAGCATGATGTGTGAGAATTATGGAACATATAATTAGATAAGAAAGCTGGTATATGTAATTTTGAAATTGCTGTAAGTCAGCATTTTCTGTTTTTAGTTTTATGTCCTGTTCCTACAGAAATGCATTCACTTCTTGTGCTAGTTATTACCTCTGCAGATTCTAAAATAGGGTTGTTTAAAATTAACTAGCAAATATTTAGTTAAAAAGTAGGATTATTAAATCTTACAACTTTTCTGTTTAAGGATAAGTAAATATTAAACATAAAGCCTTTATATTCCAAACTAACTTCTAAAAACTATGTAACAGGAAGACTTATGTAAGAATATTTATATCAGATTTGGCACATTATCATGTATAATGATGTCCATGAGGCATCACTGACTTAAACCTTATGAGGGTGCCAAATCTCATTAATCATATATATATATATATATATATATATATATATATATATATATATATATATATATATATATATATGTTTTCTGAGGTTTTCGCGGGTATTTGTATGTAGGTCTTTGGTTGTTCGGGTTTTCTCCCACGTAAAATTGGAATATATATTGCTCCTCGAAGCACGAAGCTGAAAACACCAGCCTGAAGATGATGAATGGGACTTCGTTGAAACGTCGCCAAGACACTTCCAATTTTACGCGGGAGAAACCCCGAATAACCAAAGACCTACATATATATGATCAATGATATTTGGCACCCTCATAAACAATTCTTATTGTTACACTATGCCAAATTAATGATGCTAATATCTTTTAAAGGATGTTGACCCCTCTTGTGCTGTACAACTTTTAAATATGAAGATAGCAATGTCTTTGTTTCCTGCAGAGGGCACTGTCATTAATTTTACAAGAGAAGAACTCTATTCTCCTTTGTTCATGGGCTTGCTTACTCTTCCTCAGTATTAATTTGGTGATCATCTGTTTTTCTCTGGATTAAAACTCAAAGCATTAAGAATGATTAAACTTATAATAGCCACATGTATGCATAGTGCTAAAAAGTAGGGCAGAGGTTTTCTTTTTTTTTCTTTTGTTTGAAACAAAACTTGAAAAATCCTTCATTGCTTCAGCATTTCCAGAAACTTTAAATTTCTGATCACACAACATGAGGTAATAAGCACTGTGCTAAAGTAAATTGTGAAATTTTAATTCAAAGCCAAAATGAGATTTTAGGCCCACTTTAAATGGTAATAATGGGATTTGTCTACTGCTGGAACAAATAAACTCCATATTCCTTTACTTTCTTTTACTTATGAAATGAATTAATTCTACTGAAACTTCACATAGTTAAAAACAAGCAAGCAGAAGAGTAAACCAGTTTAAGATTTCAGTTTATGACAGTAGGATTAAAAATGTGATTGTTCAAAGACTTGTTTTCTTTTTCTTTAGAAAAATAATATGGGTAGTACTGTGTAAAGACATACAGATTTTTATTAAATTTAATCTAGTTTAAGTCCATTTTATGAACAATTACCAAATCATTCATTTTCAATTCTTTCATGTTTTTCCTACCTGCAGAACTAATATATATGTAACTTTAACTGTACCATTTTTAATATTTGTAACTATAAGGTATTTACATTTTTAAATGTCATAGCACTACCAATAGAACAATTAGTGTTAAGTTATATACAATGTACTACTCTGTTTCCCCAAAAATAAGACCTAGCTTGATTTTTGGGGTTAGGCCTAATATAAGCCCCTATAACACGGGTCGGCAACCCGCGGCTCCGGAGCCGCATGCGGCTCTTTGAGCCACCTCCTGCGGCTCCGGAGCCTTCTCCGCCATTTTCATAGAGAGAGAGACAGACAGAGACAGAGAGGCACTTGTGCTTCCCTTCTCTCTATCTCTCTCTCTCACACACATGCAGATTTGCCCCTTGCTCCCGATTGGCCCTGCAGCCGGATACCCTGCCCCCCGGTGGCCAGGAAGGGCCTTTCCGGGGCTGGCCCAGTCCGAGGTGCATGTGGCCAGAGAGCCGCGCGGGGAAGCCCCAGGATCGATGCTGGGAGCGGCCCAGCAGAGCCTCCGTTGAAAGGGCCAGCCCTCCCGCAAGCTGCGGCCCTAGTGGGCCAAGCAGGAGCAGACCCGGAGATGGAGGGTGAGTGGGGAGGAGGGAGGGGGCTTACCTGCACCAGGCGGAGGGGCAGCCGAGCCGGCCTCGTGTCTCCCTGGGCTGGGCAGCAGGCCTGGCGGGGCCAGCGGCCGGCAGGGGCATTGGTTCCTGCCCTTCCCCAGGCCAGGCGGTAGGCCCAGCGGGGGCAGCAGCCGGCGGGGGCATCGGTTCCTGCCCCTCCCCGGGCCGCTGAGCCAGCCTCGCGTCTTCCCGGGCTGGGCGGCAGTGGCGGCCGGCAGAGGCATTGGTTTTTGGCCGTCCCCGGGCCGCTGAGCTGACTTCGCATCTTCCCAAGCTGGGCGGCAGGGGCATTGGTTTGTAGCCGTCCCCGGGCCGCTGAGCCGGCCTCGTGTCTCCCCGGGCGGCAGACGGCGGGGATATTGGTTTCTGGCCGTTCCCGGGGCGCTGAGCCTGCCTCGCGCCTCCCCGGGCTGGGCGGCAGTGGCGGCCGGCAGGGGCATTGGATTTTGGCCGTCCCCGGGGCGCTGAGCCTGCCTCGCGTCTCCCCGGGCTGGGCGGCAGTGCGGCCGGCAGGGGCATTGGTTTTGGCCGTCCCCGGGGCGCTGAGCCTGCCTCGCGCCTCCCCGGGCTGGGCGGCAGTGGCGGCCGGCAGGGGCATTGGTTTTTGGCCGTCCCCGGGGCGCTGAGCCAGCCTCGCATCTTCCCGGGCCGTGCGGCAGGCGGCGGGGGCATTGGTTTGTAGCCGTCCCCGGGCCGCTGAGCCGGCCTCGTGTCTCCCCGGGCGGCAGATGGCGGGGATATTGGTTTCTGGCCGTCCCCGGGGCGCTGAGCCTGCCTCGCGCCTCCCCGGGCTGGGCGGCAGTGGCAGCCGGCAGGGGCATTGGTTTTTGGCCGTCCCCAGGGCGCTGAGCCAGCCTCGCATCTTCCCCGGCCGTGCGGCAGGCGGCGGGGGCATTGGTTTGTAGCCATCCCCAGGCCGCTGAGCAAGCCTCGCATCTTCCCGGGCTGGGCGGCAGTGGCGGCCGGCAGGGGCATTGGGTTTTGGCCGTCCCCGGGC